TTCAAGTAGAAATTTAGGAATTGTCCGGAAATTTCCATGTGGAAAATGCAACTGCAGAGCTTTATTAGCTGTAACCGAATATTTGTGCACATAGAGATGTTATTGTAATTGGGACACGGCACTAGGAGCAGAGGTCTTCGATTGATTCGCCTTGGAGTAGTAGGCGTTGTTCCTGCTTATTCTTTTTGGTGCCGCTCTTGCCGCCTGTGGCTTTGCCACGCCTCCGGTTGAGCACACCGTCTGTTTCGTCCATCATTCGAAGGATTGTTGTCTGAAAACCAGGTTATTAGTGTATTTATATCTACAAATCCCTCCCTCTCTTCACCTGATCTGAACAATCCAGTGGGGCAACAGATATATCTCGCACGGCCCTGAACTTGCCCACATTGTTGAGGTGTTCGTTCTCCAGCCGAAAATAGTTCCAAATGAAGCGACGGAAAACCTCCAGGGGACTGAGAATGGTCATCATTACATCACCCTCAATGTAGCCAGCCTCGATGAGGCTCATGGACAGGGTCCAGCTGAAGCGCAATATTAAATCCTCAATTATGCCAAAGTAGTAGAACCACTGTGGGGGGGAGTGAGGGATAATGAATGCATTGAATTATTTTCTTACATGCCATTTGGCCAAATATTTATCGTGGCCATTATTTGTTCCCCATCCACTGGGGATACCAGACACCAGACTCACCGTCGATGAATAAACGATTTCCTCACGCAAGAATCGATTGTCGCCCGCCTTGGAGTCGAATAGACCCCAGTCCATTTTGATGTCCCATGTGTAGGCGTAGCAGGATGAGAAAATTGCTGCCGTAATCCAGCAATAGAACCATGGATTCTCCTTCGATAGGGGATAGGTATCTGCAAGTCGGTGACAGACGGAGGGTGAGAGAGAGATGCTACGTGCTCGAAGGCCAAATAAAATCTTCATGAATTTGAGGTTGACCATGAAGATAGCATTAATTGGCACCTCCTAAGCAACATGCATAAAGTGTGCCTGTGCGTGTGGTCCTGGATGAGTTCCTAATGAACTCGGGGCTCGTATGTATATACATATGTACCGTACCCGTATAATGAATCCACTTACCCGTTGTCGTATGATATTTGTGGGCGAAAATTACCACAAAGAATGATGTGGCGTACTTCGCTGCGTTGACCAGATGCGGAAACGACTCTTTCGTGTCGCGATACCGACGTATGCACTGGGCGAAGCGGAAATAGGCGGGCAGGATGGCCACAATGGGATGGAGCAGGGAGACGTATTGCACGCAGTGGCTGCCATCTTATGGGAGGAAGAAAAAAATCAAAGTTAATTGATAATAAGGACATCGTGCAGCTCCATTTATCCACTCACCCTTCCCCGCTTTTTGCCATGTGGGACTGCGACCGAAGAAGCATATCAAGAAGGGTATATCCAGAAAGGCCGGAACCATGCTGTTCAACTGATCGGCTAGCCAAAAGTCGGCGAAATTCACAAAGCAAAAGGGGGCCATGATCACGCGTATGAGAACCCGCAACGCCCAGTACCGAGCCTCGTGATGGAACGTCCTCGTCGGATTCAGTAGAAAGGCAACCATCAGAATGTAGAGTATCAAGGGAGCCGCATACTGTGGAATGCCCAGGGGATCGCAGAAGATGTAGCTGAGCACACAACAGGCCCATATCACGCCGAATACCGAAGCCACCTCCATGATGTTTTGTTCGGACAGGTGATTGCGCGGATCCAGCTCAAATATCAGCACATGATTCACCCCCGAGGACCGCCACCCATAGACATTTACGCCCCAGAGGAAGAGGCACTCAATGATTAGGAATGGAGCTCGGAACATTCGAAGACCAACACGCCAGTTCTCGCCAAAGCCGTAGAACATGGCTGCAATCACAACCGTTATAAAGAGCACCACAAAGGCGCCGGAGAAGAGGCCCACCTTGAAGGTGGTCCATGGGCTCTGCTGTTCTCCCAGGGGCGGAACTCTCAGTCGCTTCATCGCCCGCTGTCGGTCTCCGCCTTCGATGTCCTGGGTGACGGCCTGCTCCGTCTCCTGGATGAGCCGATCGATGTCTTTGTTCGTATAGAAATGCGCTGCCTCCACATGATCGGTGCGCCACCGTGCCCCATAATCCACGCTAAGCAATTTGTCGTGCTTCTTGAGAATCTTGCGGAAACCCGTGAAATTGAGATTCTGATAGTTCTGGAGCAGTATCAAACCCAGATAGAACTCGCTAAATGCCAACTTGAGATCCTGTAACTTGCGTGCCGGCACATTCTTCTTGCCCAGTGGCGTGCGTCGCTTCCAGGCCGGCAGCTTCTTCGGATGGCCCATTTCAAGGGCCTCGGTCAGCTCGCTGCGCAGATTGCCATATTTGCGTGTAGCCTCGGCCATCTTCTCCGAGTAGAATGTGTTGATCTTGGCCAGCTCCCGGTCGCAGTAGTGGAAGAACTCCTCATCGAATTTGGCAAAGTACCTCGTGACCATCTCACGCTCCACCAGCTCTGCGGATGGCGATTGCTCGATGGCGGCATACAGCATGGCCTTCATTTCCTAGTAACACGAAGGGGAGTATACTAATGATAGAGATCGCGATTTCTCTTGGTTTTGCTCGAACTTGTCATCAGTGATGGGAAAAGCAGGGAGATAAAGAGAGGAACCACGAGCGCTAGCTGTGTTCTAATGTTGATTCTTTCACTTAGTTTGTCCTCTTTCGACCTAATGTTTAATATGTTTCCATTTTTCATTCTTTTACATTTTTTTACATCTGTTTACAGACGTTCTCTCTCGCTCCACTTAGCCAGAGCGCCCACATTGCACGAGAAAGAGCGAGAGAGAGAATGTGTTTCTTCATTCTGGCTATAATAAAGATCCGATCTGATTTAGATGCGGCGATCTGGTAGATATGGTGGAAACAAACTGGATTCAGTGTGATATCTCTAGCTCTCATAGGGCTCTCTTAAGACCAGTCGTCAAACAAGACGAGCATACAGAAAAACCTATATCGACTTGGCTATTGATGCTGATCTAGGATATATATACTCTATGGGGTCGGAATTGTTTCCTTTTGGCTGTTACACACATACAACCACGAAACCAATATAGCTCTATACTCTTTGATTACCACGTATAAAAAGCAACACATCCAGTGGAACATCCAGTCTATCGTATAACTTTTCTCACTCACTGTCCCTATTCAACAACTTTTGCTCTCTTTCATCTACTCTTTTGCCACATTTTCTTTCGCCGTCTTCTCCGCCCTGTTCCCCCTGCTTTTCGCGAGGAAACACTTTTGTTTACGTCCAAGGCAAGCACAACAGAAGACATCTGTCAAAAAGCTCTACGATTTGAAAGTTGTACGCCTGCGCCAAGTTTGCCGCGCGCCAAAAGCTGTCACTGACAGCTGCAGTGACAGCCAGGAAAGCACACCACTCACTCGCCCCACAGATACAGATTTTTCCGCACTTGGCCACTTTTGGACCTGATGAGAAATTTGCGCCTTTTACCTCATAGCTAATATATTGCTTACGCCACTCGGGCGTTATGTGGGCCGTCAAGTGCTCGGCAAACTTCATCTTGGGATGATGGTCTCAGTAAATGCTGCACTGCATCCGCATCGGTCAGAACGGGGAACGCGAACGAGAGCGAGGACGTTGGCTCTCCAAACGCACGTTTTCACGTAAACATCACAACTGGGGCAAAAGTTCTTGGATGTTGGTCCAAAGGCATCGCTAGGGGGACCAAGGCGGGAAAGCTCTTTTTCGATATGTAAATGACTTTTCTCTTTGTTATTGCCTGCTCATTCCGTTTTCAATGTCAACAATCACAAAAGCTTATTCAAAATATTGACTTCAAAAATGGCTTAAATTATCTAAACCGATGTGCAGAATGCAATGCGGTTTTAGTTTCAATATAAGTGACATATTTTTTATTTAATTTTAATTCAAATTCGTTCGATTCCTTCGATTTTCAGTTGAATACTATAATTTCCCAAGTAATTAGCAACGGCTATTAAAATGTACATAAATAAGTAGATGCGATAATTGCGAATATAATATTGTACTAGGAAAACCTTCGGACTGGCCAAGCGTTCAGTAATACTCAGATTAATGTGAATTTTTCTATAGCTGATAGTTATAATTAGACCCCTACCTTTTATGGTCTTACTCTTTTGTAATCGGGTTCCCATGCAGCTATTGCAATCAGCAATGCGATTGCTGAAATTATTCTGAACAGAAACTTGTTTATGATCATATAATACTCGTATAAATGGTGTGTTTATCTGCTTACCTTTAATCTCTTTTAATCATCTAATGATTTTATATACTGTTTATAAATCTTATATGATTAAAGTACCCCTCTGATAGAGGTATTAAATAAAATAAAAATAAAATAATAAAATTTTAGAACAATTTCGCATCATATGAACAAGTATTAAAATATACTGATCTTAGGGGTTCCAACATAAACATGGGTTCAGTAAATAGCTTCAAAACTGAGGGACTCAATGTAGCTCTGAAAGGGTACAACAAAATGATCGTAGTAGACTAAGCTTGTCATATCGACTCGAAGCAAACCACAAAGATTTGACACAAACTAGATCAATAGCTCTACAAAATTCTTTTAAGTTAGAAGTCGTACAATATACGTCTAAACGACTCACCACAGCAGTAGCGGTAATAAAAACCGATTCCCGATTCATAAGGAATGCCAGAGGCCCCAAGAGAGAGGCGGTAGGTGGGGGTATGTGTTTTTTCTGCTTGCTCTGCTTATCGCAATTGACGGGGGTTTCTTTGCTCTGCCCCCCCGCACAGACCAGTATCGTACGCTCTCACTATCTCTCTTTCGCTGCGGGTTGTGTGCTGTATTTTATATTGATTGAAGAACAGGCCCGCGCTCGTTGCCCCCCACCCGCATCGAGTCATTTACATGATCACATTGGAACAAGCGGACCAGAGTGCACAGTCGTGAACGCTCTGTGGCTGTCAGTCGCTGATTAGCCCGCACACTGGAAAGATCACTCTGCACTGAAGTACTACGAGTCCGAAAAGTCGAAGTCACACCGGTGCAACACTTCTAGCACTAGCGGAAGCGATAAGGAAGCAAATCAGTTGGGTAAACTGTATGATATAAATCGAAGGAAAAGTGTCGGCGATCATTCATTCAGCTGGTAGAACCCCAAGAAGCACAATGACCAAAGGAGTACTTCCAACAGCCGAGCAGGTTAATGAGGTTAAGACACGGTTTCTCCAGAAACTAGAGTCGGAGCCGCCAGCAGGTGAGCGAAAATCCAGCAACGAATTTCCAGTCACCCAATCCTAAACGTTTCCCCTTCAGATGCCTTTCTTCCTGAGGATCTGAAGCGCATCACCGACAACGACTTGTGGATCACAAAGCTGCTGGAGGCCTTTGACCTCGATGTGGAGAAGACCCTTGCCCGACTTTGGGAAAACTTGGCTTGGCGCCAGAGCTACGGAGTATATAACATTAACGAGAGCAATGTGAACCAGGAATATCTGCACGACGGCTCGATCTATGCACACAACAAGGACAAGGAGGGCAAGCCTCTGCTCATTCTCAGCCTGAAGAAGCACTCGAAGAGCAAGAACCTGGACGATCTCCTGCGCCTTGTCGTATTTTGGATTGAGCGCATTCACCGCGAGAACGACCTCGAAAAGATAACCATCTTCATGGACATGACTGGCTCTGGGCTGGGCAACATGGACTTGGACTTTATCAAGAGCATCATTAATATGTTTGAGGCCAACTATCCTTACGTGCCCAACTATATCCTCGTGCACGAACTGCCCTTCCTGCTAAATGGTAAGTTTTTTGGATTCTTTTTGTCAGATATGACTTGAAATAATGCCAATATTTGGCTTCCTTCTCAGCTGCCTTCAAACTTGTCAAGACCTTTCTGCCTGCCAAAGCCCTGGAGATCCTGCGCGTCACCACCAAGAAGGATATCACCGAGTATGTGGACAAGGACAACTGCCTGAAGCTGTGGGGCGGCAATGACGATTACGAGTACAAATTCGAATAGAAACAACCTCAAATTTAATCCCAAACTCACATAAACCTCAAACTGTATAAGAGAGTGTAAATAATACGATATTTATTGCCTGAGATACTAATTACTGATTACCGATGGTTTCCCTATTCCAACACCCATCAAAGTACAGAGCTTTCGAAATGATAAAAAAAAGCTGAGCGAAGCTTTGACTCGAAGCTAATTGAAATGCAGCTGAGCATTCGCTCGCCCACGATCACGTTCTATTGCAGAGGCACGGGCTGGAGCTGGGACAGAGGCAGGGGCAGAGGCTTGCTACTACTGCCCTTTTGGGATGCCTCCCATCCCATCGGGTGTATTGTGGTGGTGCTCCACATTCGCCTCGCACGCCAGTTGACTCCCAACGACTCCCAACGACTGGCGATCGTTGATAGCCCTGTCGACACCGTTAGCCAGTAACCTGCACGCGCTCGGGGAACTCACTTGCACATAGCTCTCGCACAGGCCTGGTCGGTGATTTGTCGCTTACAATATAAGCACCATAGTTGTTGGTGCCTGTTAACAACTTATTGGTTGGCAGGCTGAAATCTAATCACACATTTCAGTGGGCAGTGAAAGTGGATTACGATTACTGATTAGACAGAAACGCGATTAGAGTAGAGCACAGAAATAGAATCAGTGTTTGCTGGAAGTAGAGTTCAATATTCAGTCTGTCGACAGTCGTGGTTGGTTTCGAGTGCGGATTTTAACCGATTTTTACTCGTTTTCATCATGGGCGTTAAAGTCATAGAAGTGACCCCGGCGCAGATTGAGGAACTGCGCGAAAAGTTCAACAGCAAATATGCCACAACACCGCCAGCAGGTGAGATAATACTAAAGTACCAGCCAGATACAAAGTGCAACGTACATACATAAGTATCTGTGACTAATGGATTTGATGTGCTTGTGCCTATATTGTAAACTCTGTTTCATATACAAATGTATAAATACATACATATATGTACATATGTGACAGGTTTTTCTACATACATATATGAACGTATAATAACTAGAATTATTGCAGTTTCGGTGAATCTTTTGTTTATAATCGTATCCCACAGCGCAAACGAGTCGGTTGGATCATATTTTACCGGAAATTTTTGCCTAACTGAATAAATATACATAGAGATCTGACTGCAATCCACTGAAAGCTGCGTTTGTTTGAACTTGAACTTGAAAATCTAGCTATGGCTACCTAAATAGTTAAATATATAGTGGAATGGGGCTTATGTACATATATAAGCTATTTTCCTCGGGTCAACTAGCCCTGTAATTTGAGGTTCTCAGGCGATACCAAAGAAACCTGAGATCACAACGAGATCAGAACATTAACTAAGCTTATCACTCCGTATAAACAGAGATATTTTGTCAATATTTTCTTACATTATCGCTCTGTATTCGGAGATAAAAATTTTAGAATCGTTAAAATCATTTAATATAAACAGAAATATGCTTGTAATACGCTTCCCAGCTCCTTTCCATCCGGTTGACATTGATCGCATACGCAATGATCATGTCTGGCTGCAGCGATTCCTGGAAATGTATGATTTGGATATGGAGGCGTCCATGAACAAGCTATGGGAAACCTGCACCTGGCGAGAGTCGTACGGGGCAAATGATCTGGACGAGAGTAAATTGAACCAAGAATATCTGAAGGAGGGCTCCGTGTTTATCCACAGCAGCGATGTGGATGGAAAGCCGTTGTTGGTTTTCCGCGTCAGGTTGCACAGTAAATCCAAGAGTCTGGACGAACTAATTCGCATTGTGATCTACTGGGTGGAGAGGACCCAGCGGGAGAAGCACATGACACAGTTGACCATATTCTTCGACATGGCGGGCACGGGACTGGCCACCCTGGATCTAGACTTTGTGAAGCGCATTGTGGAGACCTTTAAGATGTACTACCCCAATGCCCTTAACTATATATTGGTGTTTGAGCTGGCCTGGGTGCTGAACGGTAAGTAATCAACTTTGAACTTTCACCTAGACACTAAACAATACTTTCTGCTTCACCACCTTAGCTGCCTTTAAGGTTATCAAGGCCTTGCTGCCGCCCAAAGCGGTTGAGATTCTGAAAATGATATCGAAAAAGGACATCGGCCAGTACATTTCCAAGGACAACTGTCTGGCCAGCTGGGGTGGCAGTGACAACTATGAGTTCAGCTTTGTGGCCGAAACGAAGCAGGTGGTGGCATCAAAGCCGGTCGCCAGCTCCGACGACGACCAGCTCGGCCTGGGTGGGGACAAGAAGGTGAGTGAACCACGTGACACACAGAGACATCAAGCACAACAAAATCTCGAACAGTGTCCGGCTATTGGGAGTGTTCCATTTGGATTTAGCCGGAAAATGTTGGGGTCTTCTAATTGCTTTTCTGACCTGCCGGGTCCGGCACGCTAGCGACCTTTAGCTTTCTCCATAATTGATTTACATTCTCGGTGTGTACTATTGTATTGATTTAGGGTGCGCTGCTTGCGTGTCCTGCGTGTGTTGACGCTGCCTGTCCGAAAGGAACGCTCTTCCCCAGTAACCGGACACTGAGAGAAAAATATGGATAGAAGCCTATTGTTGAGACTTTTGCTTTAGGAATAGCTCGCAAATATTCCCCCAGTGTATTGTTTGGTTGGAGGCACACATTAATGGCGCTATTAATAGCCATTTATTTCACATATGTATGTATTGTTAAACTTTCGCTTTCTGGCTAGGGTCGGCGGTCAGCGGAGCGCCAAGCGTAAACCATTGACCCTTAAAAAGTAGAACACTCATATATGGAAATATGTTAAATAGGGCATTCCCATAGGGAGAATTACACCATTCCCATACGCAATACACCAAACGTTCTACATCCACACACACACGCACTTATGCTATCCCCATTTATTGCTTGCACCCCACTCATTTGTAATTGCACTTTCATTCGCTTTCAGTTTCAATTCATTTTCCGAGAGACCGAAGCAACAGCTGGAAGAAGCTGATCGCACAACGGAGAGGAGAAGGAGGAACAACCACCAGCTGTGCTTTGTCAAAAAGCTCCCGTGTCAGCTTTCTTTCGTGCTTTTTCATTTGTGTTTCGCGGCGACAGCGTCGTCACCATCTAGTCTTTTTTTTATTCCAACGCAACCTCATTTTAACGTTACGCTCTTCAATTGTTTCAAATCTGTGTCTTCATGTGCATCTGCGGTGTTTAATGTTTAATTGTAATTAACAAATAAGAAAAGAGGAAGAGCAGAAATCAAGAGGCGGAAGCTGCATTGCTATACACTATACACCCAATTGATATTCATTCTTAAGCCAACATGCCCAGGGTAGGTACAGAGCGTCTGCATTGGTATGTGTTTGGTACGGTGAACTCGCGCTAAATTATTTGGGCATTATTGTTTGGTGCGGTGTTTAAAATAAAACCTGTATTATCATATGCATCTCAACGGATTTAGTACCATGAGTGAAAGAATTTCAATAAAAGGCTTCAATTTCTCATTCTATGGCGTGTTTACTGTCTAGTCTGTGAGTGATCATGTGTTGTTTACGTGTAATGCAAAGCCATAGTGAATCGAATTGTAATTCAACACCCATTTCGCCTTCGATATTGTGATATGGAGGTCTCCTGTTTATACAGTTTAAACAAAAGAACGTATTGTTTAAAAATCCATCCCGTTGATTTTTTCAATCGGAGGCTCCAGAACTGGTTTGAATTGAACTACAAACTAGCTCCGAAATAGGCACTAATGTGCTAACGCTTTGCATAAATTCCCTAACGCGCTGCAACCGCTAGAGCTGGCCAAGTTGTCGATGGATCTGTAGAAACAAATCGGTTACTAAATACATACCATAAATGCATATTAAACAAAAATCTCAATCTGTCTGGATATAAATTGAGCGTAAGTGATGACAAAGAACAACATACGTGAGTGGAGCAGTGTCCAGAGCAGGGGAAATACCTCTGCGTACATTGATAGACCATATAAAGATGTCATTATTGTCGCACCCTGGCCGTCAGTATCCGTATCCTCCGGCGTTGTTAGTTTTAGAATGCCAAATAAACCGATTTACGAGATGGCCTCCACAATACAAGTGGAACCTTCGTTGATGCGAACTCAAGGGTTCTTTTAAGGGGGGAAAGACGAGTGAGGGCTCTTGGAAAAAATGCCATTGCCAAGCACGTTCGACACGAAAAGCCTACCGACCAGTGGGTGGAATAAGTAGGCAAAAAGAATGAGAGGGGGCGACAACGACCATTTCCATCAGCATCCATTCTAACTTGTTCTCTGTAATCGACAGGTACACTTTGCCAAAATCGCTCCCATGGTGCTGAAGGAGTCCAACATCGGGGACATGCACACCCCAACAGAGGGTAAGAATATGAATCAATCTTTTGGGAAAATTATCAAATCGAAAATCAACCTGAACTGCTTATTGTGTCATTGTAGCATTTGAGTTCTCCTCATTTCAGTTGAATCTTTCGAGCTGTTTCAAAATTTGTTTTATTACTAGAAACATTTTAGATTACAAAGTTTTAAATTACACACATTTATATATTATTCTATAAGCAGGCATGTTGCAGCTAGAGCAGAAGGAATTTGTCAACTTCAATCAGAAAAATGCGGAGGCCACGGTGAACTTCAAGTGCATCTCCCAGAAGCCAGTGACCTATAAGGTGAGTTGTTCGCGTCCCAAGCCCCGAAGCGTTGATTTAATCTATTTCGCCCATATTCAGATACAAACCACATCGCCAGAAAAGTTCCGAGTGCGTCCACGATGCGGCATCATATCGCCCAACGAGAAGGCCGAAATAAGCATCTGGCTAAAGTCGGAATACAAACTGAGCGAAGATAGCAAAGACAAATTCCTGGTGATGGCCATGATAGTCCCTGGAACGTGCGGTGGAGCAGATGTGGCAGAGCTGTGGCGGAACAAATGCACAGGTGGCCCGGAAATAGAACAGCATCGTCTGGTCTGTCGCTTTGAGAATTCAGCATCCAAATGCGCAGGCAAGGCGAGCACAGCAACTTTGGACTGTGCAAAGGGTGGAAAACCGGACGTAAGAAACACAGTTAATGGCCAGTTAAGATTGTGTGGTAACCCGTTTACTTATTGCAGTTACAGGACCAGGTCAAGGCACTGTCTCGGCGCGTTAAGGTTGGAAATTTCGTCCAGTATTTAACGTTGCTTCTGGTACTGTTGCTGTACGCTGCTGTCGGGTTTTTGTTTTTTGAACATTACTATCCAGTTGGTCCCGGCAGCTGCGGCAAGCAATCTGGCGCTTTTTGCCCCAATAAGCGCAAATAATATTTACTGCTCCCTTGTAATCTGACCAAGCAGGATGGGAAGAAGGTGGCTGATGCCACTGCCAAGCACAAAAGCAATAATAACCACGACTGCTATAAACTAGAAAACTACGCATGTGCTTTTGATTTGATGGACCTGGGACTGGACTACAGCGAAGCCGATTACGTCGACTGTTTAGAGGCCCTTATCCACGCACAGCTGCAATTGAAGCGCAGCTGCAATGGAGGACATCAACTGAGTGGCGGTGTAGCTGGCGGCGGCCATCTGCTTGGTCTTATTGCATTCGCACGCAAATTTATGCGCTTCATCCTCTCGTTATCCCTGCTATGCGGCATACTGTTCGTCAGCTTCTACCTGGGCAGCACCTACGACGAAAATCAGGCCGAAACCACATCCCTAGCTACGTTTGACTCAGGAGCCGCCGCCGAGGGCAATCACCGACAGCCGTGTTATTTTTAGTCAAGCCAAAATCACCATTAATATATCGACAATGTACTATATGCTTACGCGTACAAAATTCCAGTTATATGATATTCAAACATGAGTAAAAATGGTTAAGCCTAGTTTGCCTCTTAAATTTCATAGCTCCCAAATTACCATCAGCAATCTCGATCCCCGCTTAAGCCAAGAATTTATAGTTTTTAGGATGTCTTGTGTAAATTATAAACCTGAAAACCTTAAGGAGTAAAACAGTTAATTAGTAAGTAAATCAAATTTAAACTTGTTTCATTTTCTAACATGTTTCCATTTAAATACAAAATTTACTAAAGTTTTGTCTTACGATTATCAAACTTAACTCCTGGTTCGACCCGTAAGATGCCTACAATACCATCTCGGAGAAGTTATCTTAAAGTTGAACATCAATTCAAGATAAATTCTCCAGGATGGTATCGTATGTATCTTACGAATCGAACCATTTCTTAAGTAGGATAAGCGTAAGACAACTTAATGCGGTCAAAAAACAATTGGGGGTAGTCAACTTTTATACAACTATTCTTAAGATTTAATTTTTTTTGGATCCTCCTCGCTTGGCAGCGGCCTTCTTCGGCGGAGTTTTGGAGTTTCCCTTTCCTCCTTTGGCGGTTTCCTTAGTTGAAGTTGGAGGAGGAGAAGCAGACTTTTCCTTCTTGCTGCTCATGGCTGCAGCAGGCACAATTTCCTTTTCATTCTTCGCATCAGGAGCTCCGCGCTTGGCAGTGGCTTTCTTCGGTGGAGTTTTGGAGTGTCCCTTTTGACCTTTAATAGTTTCCACCGTTGTAATTGGAGAAGGAAGGGGAATATTGTCCGTCTTGCTGCTTGTGGCTGCTGCTGGCATATTTTTTTCCTTTAGCTCCTTCGCATCAGCCTCACCCAAAAACAGACCATGCTGGCCACCGCCCGATGCAAGCAGCATCTTTCGGTTTTGGGTATTCTTGCCACTGACAAGTACTGGCTCCAGTTCATCATCGCCATCGCCTACACCCAGCTGGTAGTTGGTGCCCATGCCCCACGAATATAGCTTGCCATCTGCAGTAATGGCATATGAAGAGATTTCGCCACATCCCACATGCACAATATTGTCAGACAGATTATTAGCGGGCGTTAATTGGTCCACCACATCCTGCTTGCTGCCCAGGCCCAGGCGTCCATACTCTGGACGACCAACGACATAGCATCGTTGATCATTCTTCAGAAACAGTGTATGGTGTATACCACCAGAAATCTGCTTGATGTCTTTAAGAGCAGTTTTAATCGGATGTAAAATCAGATCCTCATCTTGTTCGTAAGCCAGCTGCTTGAAGTTGTTCAAGCCGACGGCCCAAATAACTTCTGTTTGGGATTCCCGAAGGAACGTACAGTAGTTTGTAGCCCATATGGCCTCGAATGGCTTGGTTCGATTCACGATTAGCTGGTCCGGTCGCAGCAAATCGCGCTTGCCGCGGCGACCTGGTGGAATGTAAACGAAATAGTTTTTTTATTTCAGAAGACACATGTGTTGAAAAAATAAACTCACCCTCTCCGCCCACTGAACGCCCTGAAATGCGTCCCAGCTGGCCCTGCTCAGCGCATCCGACCGTGTACACTTTTCCCCTGGTGGTTAATATAACCAAGTGATCGGAGCCCGAGGCAATGCTGCAGCAAACAGTTCCCGCCAAAAGATTGGCGGGTACGCGCTTGTTCCCATCAATGGTCAAGCCCATGTTTCCGTGCGAATCGCGGAACGATCCCCAAGCATAGACGCTGCCGTCTTCTAATATGCAAGCAGAGTGCGAATCTCCCACCGAGATGCGCACTGCTTTGCCGGGCAAATGGACCAAAGCGGGCACCGACTCGCTGCCGTCCTCGCTGGTATCTCGCCCCAAGGCGCCCTCGTCGTTGCAGCCAAAGGAGTAGATATCGCCATTCTCCGTCAGCACGAGGCTATGCATGCCACCAGCGCAAACATCCACAGGATTTGGGATGTTCTCAACCACTGCAAGGCGCTTCCGCTCCTGGATATCCTCACCCAAGCCAAGCTGTCCGAAGTCGCCCGTGCCGCAAACCAGCACGGTGCCCACAGTCTGGCGTCGCTTGGGTATATCCAGGCTGAAAGCAATGCGCGCCCTTTTGGCCAAGGTGGGCTGTGCTTCTGCCTCGCCGGCATTGTTGTTGTTCGTTACGGCCTTGCGTCGCGACATTTTTGTTTGTATGATGTTTCAAAAATCGAGCTTCAAAATTTCACAAATTTAGTCACAAAAACTAACACTGAAAATGTACAAACAAATATAAGGTTATGGACGCTACCTCCTACCAAGGCGATGAACTCACAATGTAAATTACGCCTGCTCTGTTAGGGACACGTTTTCTTGCAGATTCCTGTGGTCGGTACAACGTTGTCGCTACGATGGTTTTAATGCGAGTGAAAACCAAATAGCGAAAAAACGTAGATCAAGATTTATTTTGCCGAAAAATGCGCGGGAACCGGCAGCTGCTTGCGATCAGTGTGACCGCAGACTTATCGATAAAATATACCGTCCGACCCTCAGAAATATACCAAAATATACCGCCTCAATTTTAAAATATACTGTAAATACTGATAAAGTAGTACCGTATTTTCCTGAAGTCACCATATAAATGAGGGCAACACGTTCGGCGCTAGTTTTAATCTGTAAAAATGGCCGATGCGGCCGAAAAAAATAAATAAAACTGTAAGGTTACACTGAAGACAACATTTTTTTTTTAATTCCTTAAAATTTAAATTTTTCACGCCCACCATTAACATAAGTGACGGAGCCCTGGTTAAACTGTCGTATCAACCCTGATGTATGATGCGACATGTCCGCCATCTTTTATTGAAAATGCGCAGCTGCTTACTCTGACGGAAATTGCTAGCACCACAAAGAAACACATAAATTGAAAAAAAAAAAACCGTGTTTAGTATCTTTGCAGAGTGATATTTACTAAATACAGTAAGTGCAAATATACAATCAGTAAAGAGCGAATCGTAGTGTCGATGCTGTAGAAAGTTTGGGGGAAATCAATAGGCGCCGCCGCTTGGGGGCGGCCGCTCAAAGGCCGCTGTGGGTCGCCACCATGCATCCCTCCAAAAATGTTTACAAATAGAAATTTTTTGGTTTTATCGTTTTTAGTTAGGATGTCGAAATCGTCGAATAAAAAGTCTGAGGATCTGCAGTCGTTCCTGAACAATTTCCACAAGGAAATAGAAGACGGCAACGACGACAAAGTTGTGCATAAGATTTTAAAATCAATCAGAGCAGAGGACGGAGTTGCCGAGGACGATGATGATTATATTGTTGAAGTCTCTGAGGAAGAACAGGCAGAAAACGATGACGACTACAATCCAAGTGAAGAGGAGGACGATGAGGATAAATACTTCATTGACGATGACGGAAACTGCTATGTCAAAACTACGCCCAAAAAGCAGAAAGAGCTGCAGGAGAAACTCAAGAACTCAGCTACAAAGCCTGACAAGACCACCCGCTCAGGAGCTAGTAAGCCGTCCAACAAAGGTGAGTACCAGACCAGCCAAACATAATGCACACATAACTAATGAAATTTTTCGTCCAGTCATCAATTTACGTCCTGCCCAATCTTCCCCGAAAATGGTCACAAGATCCGCAGCAGAGTCAAGACCAATCAGTGTTCGAGCAACGAGTGCAGTAGCAGCAGCTGCTATTCCAAAGCTGCCAGCAAAGACATTTGCTAACACTGCCAGGGGCAGGCCCAAAAAGTCACAAAAGGTTCCCTCACCGAAGCTCGAGCCGAAGTCCGAGCTTAAGTCCGAGCCCCTCGACATCGAGCGGGAGATCGAGGAACTGGTGGCTGACGAAGATGTTGAAGCTGCCGTAGCCGATATTACCGGAAATTCAGAGTACACCATTGATAATGCTGCCGTCGAAGCCCTGGACAATGTGGCTGACGGCGAGGTCTATGAGTTCGATGACAACCCACCAGAAGAGTCCAAGCAGGAGCTGAAGATCACATCCAGGCAGTTCTTACTGAAGCCTGTGCCAACTGTGGAGAAAAAAACAGCCAAGGTGAATCAATTCAACTGCTCCCAGTGCGCCTACACGACCAACAAGAAGTTTCTCATCACGCGCCACAACAAAACACACGAGACTGACTTTTCCTACAAGTGCTCCATATGCGATAGAGGATTCAAGTCGAATGTGGGATTGGTGAACCATGTGAACACCCATTTGGGGAATAAGCCGCACAAATGCAAGCACTGCGAGAGCGCCTTTGTCACCAGTGGCGAGCTGATAAGACACACCAGATACAAGCACACCAAGGAGAAGCCGCACAAATGCACGGAGTGCAGCTACGCCTCTGTGGAGCTGACCAAGCTAAGACGCCACATGACCTGTCATACAGGAGAGCGGCCGTACCAGTGTCCCCACTGCACTTATGCCTCGCAGGACATGTTCAAGCTGAAGCGTCATCTCGTTGTCCACACGGGGGAGAAGAGGTATCAGTGCGATATTTGCAAGTCCCGGTTCACGCAGTCCAATTCCCTGAAGGCGCACAAACTCATCCACAGCGTCGTGGATAAGCCCGTGTTCCAGTGCAGCCACTGCCCTACCACCTGTGGCCGCAAGGCGGACTTGCGCCTTCACGTCATGCATATGCATACGGCAGATAAACCGATACCCTGCAAGCGCTGTGGCCAAAATCTACCAGATCGCTACCAGTATAAGTTGCACATAAAGACCCACGAGGGCGAGAGATGCTATCGTTGCAAGCTATGCGAGTACGCCTCTGTTTCCCAGCGGCATTTGGACTCTCACATGCTCGTCCACTTGGATGCGAAGCCCTTCAAGTGTGAAGTATGCCCGCAGGCCTTCCGTCAGCGCCAGCTGCTGCGTCGCCACATGAATCTGGTGCACAACGAGGAATACACGAGGCCCGAGCCGCGCGAGAAAATGCACAGCTGCCCGGAGTGTCCGCGGATTTTTACCCACAAGGGAAATTTGATACGGCACATGGAGATCCATGACGAGACGAAGAATGCTCGCGAGGAGCGGCTCAAATTGAAAATGGGTCGCAATATTCGTCTGCAGCCTGATGGCAGCATCGTGACCCTGGTCAACGAAAGTGACTTTGACAGAGGACTCATTGACATGGATGACGACGACGAGGAGAACTTTGAACTGGCCGACGTGGAGCCGGACAACTACGAGGATGAAATTCTAGAGGCCATGGGCACCCCTACAGCGAAATCAAAAAAAAGTCCGGTCATTATCAACACACAACCCAGAAAGAGCTCCATCAATCAGCCCGTTATCATTAACCGCCGCCTCAGGGCCAAAGGCGGCACCAAGACATTCCACATTAAGGAAGAGCCAAACACCTCAGAGTTCACGGTTGAACTGCAGGGTGATGATGGCCAGGTCATGGTCGTAGAACTGGTTAATGGCGACGAGGAGGTGGTAGTCAAACGCGAGCCCAAAGGCTCTAAGATCAATGCTGCCAACTGCTTTGGCTTTGAGGTGTGTATCTAATAACTCTAAGCACAATCCAAAGCCCAATGGACTAAGTGTTTCCAAATATTTTTTTGATTTTAGGACGATGACGCCGAATACGCGGATTACGGAGAGCAAGACTCCGAAATGGATGGAACTTCACAGGAGTTTCTACAGCTAATGGATATGATCGAGCAAGATGCTTAGTCTTTTACAGGATAGATGTAAATGATTATGAATTTAGCATAGTATGTAATACAAGGTTTACCGAAATACGTACACACGTAGAGCACTTTGTATGTACATTATGGAATAAATTACTTGTTTTCTTTAAAAAATGTATATGTAATGAAATCAGTTATCACCAAAAGTTTTCGTCTCTAGCATTTTGGGTGCAGGCAATTCGGGCAGACCCCTTGCAGACGTTTTGAATGGAGCTAACCCTTAAACTGACTCGTCCAGAACTCCGTCTTGCACGTCTGCATATGTACACACATATCTCGAACCTTTGCCGTTTACACAGAGTGTTGTTTAAGATTACAACTATTTTTATACCCGGTACTCGAAGAGTTTAGAAATATATTAGTGTTGTGGTGGTTGTGTGTAACAGCTAGAAGGAAGAGTTTCCGACCCCATAAAGTCCTTGATCAGTATCAATAGCCGAGTTTCACGCCTAGACTATAAGAGCTGTAGCCACCAAATTTTGTGTGCCGACTCACCTGAATCACACTGAATCAAGTTTGCTTTCACACGCCCGCCTCCGCCCCCACATATTTGAAGAAACACGAGAAATCCAAAAACGCAGAATAGAGAATGACTTTATCTACTAGATCGCCGAATCTGAATCAGATCGGATCATTATTAGAATGAAGAAACCCGTTTAGAGTTACTCATTTTCTCTCTCACTCTTACTCGTGCAGTGTGCGCGCTCTGACGAATTGGAGCGTCTGGTGTTGGTGTATTATTAGAATATATGTAGCTCTTAAGACAACAGTAAACTGAAAAGTAATTGCTGTGCCAACACCTCAGTCCGGCACTGTACATACTGACTGAGTATTGGGTAAAAAAGAAGAGCCGCAGCCCATGCCGCGGCTCACAACGTTGCCGCTTGTTTTAGATGACAACTTGGCATAAATATTTATTTAAATACATACAATATATATATTTCAATGTTCTCAATAGTGGTATATGGGCAAAATGTTAGGTGCGCCTGCATTTGTATCGAGCTGCAGCATCTCTGGGCGTGCACTGTGTAACGCTGTAAATTCTCGGCTATTTAATTATCGTTTCCTACCATAAAATGTTTGCATTGCATATTTTTTTTCCTTCTTTCTTTTTATCTTTCTCTCTTCAGCAATTCGGTTTCTTCACTGGCTTTCTTTTTTCTCTTGCCGTTTCAAGTGTATAACTACAATAAAAATATATATATATATATATATATATATATATGTAGTATATAATATGTGTATGTATATACTTTAGGTGGTGCAATGTGCAAAAATCTGCTGTGCAGTGCATCATTATCATTTATCATTATTTCAATACATAGTTTTGTTTTGTTTGCTTTTTTTAGGTTTCTTTGTTGCTGTTTGTTGCATAAAACGTTAACAATTTGTTTGTTGTTAATAATACGTGTAATGTATACGATTGTATAACAATTAAAATGGAACAACGTCGATAAAGGAAGTGCGTGCACATTGAGTGAGTAGATTCGAAAAATGACATTAAGAAATCGAAAATTGCTTTCAGTATCGGAAACACGAATACGAATACACTTAGAAATACAACAGCTTAAATATTGCATATCCTATAATTAAGTTAATGCTTTTTGAGATTTACTTGGCCCTGGCATTGGCCTGGGAAAAAGGAAAGAAAATGGAAACTAATTGAGGCACAGACTAAGCCCCCTCCCGTAACTAATATTAAATCGAGAACGTAAGCGTATAAAAAAGGAACTAAACTAAGCGAAAACGTAAACATAAACAAATTCATGGAAAGCTGTTCTATGGCTCATATGCTAGCTCTTTCATAAGCTTGGCTTATATCATTTAACTTTTGGCTTAACAATTTTCTTTTTGTAAGGCTGCTCTTGGTTTTCCCTTCCCTTCCTTTCCTTTCCTTCAATTTCTCTTCTCTGCCCTACATTTAGTTTTAGTTAGTAAACGTTGGCTTTTTGTGAGCGTTCTAGGAGGCAAAAGTAGAACATAAATCTCAGAATATTTTCAGTTTTTGCAGAAAACGCATTAGGGGCGCACTGAGGCAGGCGCTGGCCCTGGCCCTCGGCTCGGTTCTTGGGTTAGCAGCAAAAGAGGCTCCGCCATTCGCAATTCACGATTGCTCCCTCTTTTGCCTCTTTGGCTGTTAATTGCAGTTAAGTGTGTTCTGGTTGGGGCTGTTGCGGGCTGTCACGTTGTTGTGATTGATCTGATTCGATTGCGTGATGCTGACACTGTCGCTGGTCTTCCACGAGAGCAGCTTATTGAGCAGCCGGTCCATGTACGGATTGCTACCCAGACGCATCACCTGTCAGAGAACAGAAAGAGAGAAGAAAGCACAGAAAGCACATCCATTAGTTATTAATAATGCAATCAATTTAGTTCAAGGACAAACTACCTCTGCCCGCGCCTCCGCATCAAGCGTCTCGAGAACCTTGCGTGTGTACTGAAAACTTCCCAGCTTTTCCAGCAAACTGATGCAGTACTTCTTGACCTCAATGTCGTGCGTGCGCTGGCGTAATATGTCTGCGGATACGAAACGTAACTTGATGAGTGGCAAGCCTTGGGTCAAGTCTGTGGGACTTACGTAGAACCTGTTTGTCCTGCTTTTGCGAACGCACCGCATGGATCACTGGGAAACCGAACTTGCCCTCCGTCAGATCCTCAGCGAAGCTCTTGTTCTCCGTGTACTGTAGGGCAGAGAATGGTCAGTGCTTGAGTGTCAGTGATTAGGTACTAGCAGCACTAACCTCTTTCAAACTCAAATTACAGTAGTCATCACGAATTTGAAAGTACAGTCCCAGAATTGCAGTCAGCTTCGAGTAATCCTCCTTGTTGGCACTAAACAGCTGCATGAGGCGAATTGCCAGCATGAACAGGCCGCCAGTCTTGCGTACAGTCATCAGTTTGTAATCCGATTCGGAGGGGCATGTGAAGCTATCCCGCCAGTAGATCTCCATTCCCTGGCCTCGATGCAGCTCCAGCAGTTGTTCCGTATACACTTTGGTTGCCTTCAAAGATGTGGGATTGATTAATTGAATTCCATTTGAATCGTGGATATCAGAGGACATACCTCTGGATGTCCCAGCAGCTGCACCTTCTCCAGCGCCAGAAACAGGGCATAGTTAGCCGCATTTATGGTGCTAGCCACGCCATAGATTGAATGGGCCACGGGCACACCTCTGCGAAGGATCGAATTGTCTTCAATATCATCAATGCTGTAAGTTAGTAGCAAGAACACATATTGAAGAGCAGGTCAGTGAATCAATCGATCATCTATGGTAGTGTATTATAATCATACTAGCAATCATACTACAACTAAACTGAGAGAATGAGAATATTTACTTAAAGCGTGAGTCACGCTTCCATCTCCAGGCATCCACAACGTGCTAAAACATATTTATGCACACGTGTGTACGTACTACGTACATATGTACGTGTTGTATGCCTCTCATAATAATAGATGTGTAAATTTAAGCCCCGCTTTAAGGCCAACATCATCGCTTCAATAACTACGTTGCCCGCCAGGCAAAACCGAAGGCAAAGGCAAAGGCAAACTGGGCAGCCCAACATTTGCGTAATTAAAAAATGTTTGCGCTCCGCCAAAGCTGGCAGAACCATTGAAAGGGAATTGGATGGCATGGAGGCGTGGGCGTTGGAGCGACAACGCACAAAGGGCGGCAGCGCAGGAGGCGTCGAGAGTGGAGGAGAGTGGGGCCGGGCCTCGAGGAGCCTCTGGATAGTGATGAGAAAAATGATGGTGAATGGTGGGCGTGCTGCGTTGCAAGAGTTGTCACAATGCCTGTCGGCTGTCGGCATAAGTGCATGAATGAGGCGCCTGACTGACGGACAGGACGGGACGGGTTGAGGTGCCATCGTAGGAGGTGGGAAAGTGGCTGGCTGCCTCGTGGCTGTTACTTGCAACTGACATAGTTGTAAAACTAAGTTTTTGCCGATATGAAAATGCATTAGGAACAGAATAGAACATGGCGAAGACAAGGCACTTGGGACGACAGGACACGAGAGGAGACAAAATGGGAATGGAAAGAATGTCAAGGAACAATGAGGAGATTTTAAGCAGAATTAAGGCCATTTCAAAGAATTTGAATTTGAATAAGAGGCGACAGGTGGCCCAGGGACGAGTGGCATGACAGTCTTAGTTTGCCTGATTGAACAGAAAGTGAGAGGGAGAGAGAGAGAGAGAGAGATGAAAAGCCATGAAGGAAACTTAGAGCTGATTAGCTGCTGCTTGATGATAGTGACAATTCGCAAGGGACGCACTAAGCTCCACTGCTGCTGGCATCTTACAGACAAAGGCCTTAATTGAAAAGCGGCAGACACACTTCAATTGGGACAGTTCAGAGTTTAATTGTTGCCGGGAGCTGCAAGGCAGGCAGCATCCTCTTCCCTCTTCCCATTCCCCATTCCACCCACTCGGGGGGAATGGAATGGATAGAAATCGAAATAATTTATGCAATTCCAGTTCGGGCAATGAAATGCCAAGAAATTCAATTGAAAAAGTATTGTAAACAGCCGATTCTGCGGGCTCATGATGAAATTTTGGAATTGATTTGAGGCTAACACGTACGCACACACAGCCGAGCAGAGCAGAACATTATCCAATATAGTACCCAACAAACAAGGCCGCCAGTTGGATTCGTCGAAAGGGTGTGAGTCATCGGCAAATAGAACCAGAACTGCCCTCCCAACGGTCATACGCTAAACGGATAAAGTCTGCTGATAGACTGTGTGCTCGAACGATGATAAGAAGACTCCAATGAGCTCCATATGGGAGATACGTTTTGGGGCAGTGCAGCACTTCTCATTTTCCCCAAAACAATAAAAAAAACTTCACACCCCAAATGGCCGTTCAGCTGAAATCTATATAAACGAAACCAAATAAACAAAAAAAAGTCTATACAAAATGCTGTGCAAGTGTGAAGTGAGATTAAACAGAGATACCATGGGTATGGGTATGGGTATGGGTATAGGTATGGGGTTGGGGTCAAAAGTGTGGCATGGGGGAAGGTAAACAAAAGCTACGGGCAGAGAGAGCCACAAATGCAAAAGCAAAGGTCAAATTTAAAATTAAAACATGCTACACATGATTAGTTTTGAATGCAATATCGACAGGTTTTCCATACCATACAGGCACATACTACATAGATGCATATACAATATATATACTCACAGCAAACTGGAATTATGCAGCATTTGTACAATGTCGCCAATCTGCGCCAACTTTTCGGCCGGTATGAGCAACCAGTGATTGAAGGCCAAGGCCAGCTCGGAGCGAAATTGTTTGCCAGGAATCTGTTGTATGTATGTGAAGGGCTGCAGCAGAATCTGGGATAAGCGATGGGATACACGTGGGTGCGTGGGCGACATGTAAATAAACCGTAAAGAAGTGGGAAGAAAAGAAGTGAACCGAGAAGTAGATTAGTTTGGGGTTTTTGGGGTGTCGGGGCGCAGGCCCAGACCCAGACACAGGCCCAGGCGCTGGCGTCAATCTTAAAAATGCCAAAGTTCAGGCTCTTGAATGATTAAACGGAAGGGATAAGTACCTCATCCTGCTCTTTTTGCGTTGATTTATCTTTGGTTTTCTGCAATATACTGTTCAGTTCTTCCATTGTTGGGCCGCGAGTCTTGCCTTTTGCTTTGTGTTGTGTTGTGTTGTGTTGTGTTGTTGCTGTGGCGTGTGGGGCGGCGATGTTTACAACGAAGCACCGCGATACGCGTGACTAGAATGGTTTCGTACGCCGCTCGTTTACCTAAGCGAGAAAAACGTTTCGAAGAGGCAACAAGGGCAACGCCGCGCACTGCTTTAGGACCAGAAAAAGACTGTTATTGAAGTTATTCTGCGACCAGCCATTTGTATTGTTGTGAAACGGCGACTAGTAGAGCCAGAAAATCATCGATGGAACTATCGATTCATCGGATTCTGCTTCGCAACGATATCGATGGTATCGTCTCACTTCTCCCATCTCTATTTCGGGCAAGGTGCCTGCGTGGAAAAACTTTCTAGGCTGATTTTGAATAACAATCTTTTAAAATTACTGATATTTACAAAGAAATCAACGTGACAATGGCAGAACCACTTCCCATGCGCATCAATTGGAATCCTGATTTGAAACACAACCAAATGGAGCGGTAAGTTAGATGGAACAACAAGCCAAAGTCCCAATCACATGCTCTCTTTATTATTGTTTCCACAGCTGGATATGCATTTACCCCGCCTATATCAATAGCAAGAAGACTCGCCAGGAAGGTCGTCGGCTACCCAAGGAGAACTGCGTCGAGAATCCACACTACCACGAGATGCGAGATGTTCTGTCGGTGACCAACATGCACTTTCTGGTGGAGACACTTAAATATCCCCGCGAAATCAGCAAGGAGCCGCAATTCCGCGGTCGGATTCGCGTCCAACTCCGCAATGCCGATGGCACGTTGTGCAGCAAAGACTTTCCCTCGCGAGAATCTATCATGCAGTACATTGCCGGTAAAATACCCCAGCTGAAGACGCGCCAGAACAAGTCGGCGGATTCTTTCCATCAGCCCCAACTGCAGTCAAGCGGCTCTGGAGCTAGCGGCGGCGGGAGTGGTGGTGGTGGTGGCGGCGGCAAGAAGGGCAAAGGCAAGCGCCGCTGATGATTTCAATCATGTTTTAAATGACATTTGTTTAGTTGGTTTCTTTTGTAATAAATTCTGTAAACAGAAATTTTGTACCCGTATGTTGTGTTAAGTTCAAGTGCAGGTATTTGCCCTTGGCATGCGGATCTGTCCCAAAAAGAGAAATCAGCTCACAGAACATACGATTCAAGCATAGAACAGAACCCCATTTAGAAATGTTTCAAGATCACACGATGTCAGCGAAATTCCGGCGAACTGAATAAAAAAACAAAATCGAAAATCAAGCGACAGTCACGAAGCGGAGAAACATCTAAAATTTCACCTGGTCAGCGTATAAAAACCGTCGCGCGTTGCAATCGTACATCCACAACCCAATTCGAGAGCCGCCAAGACGGAGCCACACGACCCGACCATGACACCGGAAACGATGAAACATCGCAGCCTCTACGCCTACACCATAGCCCTAGTCTTGGTTTGGCTGGCAGTCCTTCAACTGCATCTGGCTGCTGCAGTGGCTGCAACCACGGATTCCGCGCTCTCCACTTTATCGCCGTCAGCGGCAGCATCTCGTAATGCTAATCCCCTGACGGAGGCCAAGCACGAGCTGAACTGCAAAGCCCTCTGCGAGCACTGCGGCTGTTTGGGGTTCTACTGTGGGGAAGAGTGTCTCTGTGAATGCAACAACGAGAACTCGGACACGGAATGCATTCGCACCATGCAGGCAAACGCGAAAACACTGAACAGTCCCTTTCAGATTCTCATACAGGGCCCGAGCAGCAACCGATTCGTCCGCAATGCCCAGCAGTTCGAGCAGAGACGGGATCTGGTGACCAGGAGTGCCACTGGCCTGAAGACCGCTCGTAATCGTCGAAACACCATTACCATCTATAAGCCCTCAAGGTCGGCTAGCAAGAAGACAGCCAGTCAACTGACGGTCAATGCTCTGGAAACATCCTCGAAAGTGACCAAGGAATCGGAGCTAGCAAGGCATAAGCGATCTGTAGATCACCTGGAGTGGTTCAACGATTTTGCCAGTACATTGGTGCGCCCTTCTCCTTTGGGGACACGTGGCCAGAAGCAGCGGGAGCCCAAGCCCGCGGCATTCAAACGCCAAGCCGCTCCAGTGGAACCTGTCGCAGTTACACGTCGGGAACCTTGGTTCTTTGAGCAGAATGGCACACCCCTGCTACGTCCTGCACCCCTGCAGAAACGACAGCAGGCGAATCGTGACAGCAAAAGGTCCTGGAAAACAAAGAAGACCACGTCCCGCCAGGCCGCATCCATGGAACAGTCGCAGAGAGAAGCAAAAAAGTTTGGGCGGGACATTAGACCGCTGCAAGATGCAATGCAAGCGGTGGAGCGTATTCCGCGCGTCCTCCAGGACACTGTGAGCCATTTGTCGTCCGACAACAACAGCGGGGATGTCTTCAGCCTGAACATCATGAACGATGATGACGTTGAGCGCAAGGAGCAGGCACCTGTTCCTCGTCGCCCCAGTGGCCGCTCCATGAGCTTTTACCGCAACGACATTAGTCCAGAAGCTGTGACCCTAGCTCCTGCTAAAGGTCTCGCACCTCCCGCTCCGCTATTACCCCAACGTGGCCTCCTCTTCCCTTGGCTGCGGCAACAGCGCTTGATGCGTCTTCAGCAAGTTCGCGGAAATCAGTAGAACACATAAACAGCACGTTTTTTTATTTTCTTTGTTGTATATTTTTAAGTAAAACAATAAATTTTCAAATTGCAACCTTTTAAAGCGTTAAATCTAGTTATGTGCATTTTAAAATCGATGATATTCATCGACGTAACCTTGTTATCGTGACGCACCATGCAGGCGGAAGACACCTAAAGGTTTTTAAGATTTGAAACGGGCGCATTTGAAAGCACGGATAGCCGCGATGTCGAATTTTTTTCTAAATTTAAAAAAGTAGTTGATATCACCAAAAATTATATTACCAAATATATATTAATATTCTATATCAAAATATATATTCAACTTCTCTACCTTTGATCGTTTCTTTTGCGTTGCGTTGTCGCAGCTCCGCCGTTGCAACAGGTAGCACTAACAAAATTGGTAAAAAAAAAAGGTGCATCGCAAGTGAACTGAACCCTTCCCCCATCCCCACAAAGAGTGCAAGAACAAAGGGGGCTATTTATTACATTCACTGAGAGAAGATATATGTATAGCTTCGGTTGTGAGAGCGTGAAGTGCACGAGACGAGTGTGTTTTAACGTAAAAGAGAGTAAAAACCAAAAAAGAGACAATGAAAACAATTCATTTATAAACGAGAATGTGAACGTACAATATGAGCATATTAATTTGTGTCGCTTGTACATAAGGAAATATACATAACAACAAAGAAGTAAATAGCTGTGCCCTTGCCAAATACTTATTTCTTTCGAATGTGAAATCAATTCAAAATCAAATACACAAGTGAAAGAGAGTGAGAGCGTAAGCAAATACGAATATGTAAAAGGTGATTTCAAAGACCATATAGCCCCCGTTCAACGGTCGGTCAACTGGTTGCTTCGCTACATTTGTTTCTCCTATCCCCCAATCGGTGTCTGAGTGTGTTTGTGTTTGTGTGTGTAAAGATCCACCAAACCAGAACGGGGGTACTGTGCGCCGTTAACTGGATCCAAGTGTAGGGAGTGTAAGAAAACTCAAGAGCTTACCTATTTTTAGCTGCTTTTGAGAATACATGCATGCATCGAACAGTGTGCATTCAGCTTCATGGGAGAGCCAATCACAAAATCTGGAATTTGAATGCCGAACGAATTTTTCCGAGTGGAAGGGAATGGAATCATTAACGTCGAGCAGTTCGAGGTTACACTATCAACAAACAGAAACGCTACGAAAGCCCCCATTTCTCTGGTGTGTTTCCCTATGGTGTGATCCGCTGGTGACGAGGCGAAATTGATGAAAAGTTTGAATGCCCAATTCGATAAATAAAATCATGTAATAAAACGACCGGGTTCCCTTCTAGCGTTATCTGCGGAATGATATAGCTCATACCGATAGTGGCTTTAACTAATTCACACACACACGCACGCAATAACAGTTCCATGGAACGGGGAAGAAAACAGCTGCACTGAATCAGTCTGCGATTGTCTTTATCTCTTATAATTGCTAAGATAAGTTGGGCAAACTGTTTCTGGGCAATGGGGAGGGAGGATAATCAACCAACAGAGCATGCAGATAATCCATTGAAGTGGCATGTTTTAAAGTCTTTATATATTGGAAGCCCTTATAAAGAAGGTGATATTATCAGCTAGAAATAACTAGAGCTCGTACGAGTATGTACGATCAAAGGGCATTTTAGTTTACATTATAAAAAAATGAATTTTACAAAGAAAACAATGTTTGTAATTTTGTTCAATTACAGAATGAGACAGCCTGAGGTTAGGAATTGATAGATCCACTCAAAGACCTATACCCAGGATCACCATGGATTTTGTCCGCAAAATGCGCTCCCGCATGGAAACCAAAAGACTGCCCGAGGATGTCGACGATGGACTGGAGACCCTGGAGGAGTACACGCAGCGCTGGCGCTCCGTGCGCATCATCTACTTTACAATGTTCCTGATGGCGCTGGGCTTTAGCATCATCATCACGGGGATATGGCCCTTCCTCAACAAGGTAGGTGTCTCTTTTTGAACAGCTTCCTGACCTCCGAAATCTTATGCAAATCTCTCTCCAGCTAGATCCCGATGCGGGCAAGGAGTTCATGGGTCTGATAGTCGCCGCCAATCCATTGGGACAGATGATCTTCAGTCCTATATTCGGCTGGTGGGGCAATAAGCTAGGCACCATTCGCCTCCCGCTGCTCCTTTCATTAGCCTTGTTCACTTTAGCCAGTGGCATGTACTCCTCATTGGAGCTGCGCCCCCCCAATGTCAAGTACTGGATGCTGGCCTCAAGATTTCTGATTGGAGTCAGTTCGGCAAACATAGCCCTGTGCCGATCGTACTTGTCGGCCGCCACGCGAATCAGCGAGCGCACCCATGCTGTCTCTATGGTGTCTTTAGCCCAGGTTTTGGGTTTCATCATCGGCCCGACACTCCAAGCGGCAGTCACACCGCTGGGTGCTGAGGGTCATGTCTGGCTTTGGGGCAAGATGCACTTTAACATGTACACGGGCTCCGGCTGGATCAATGTGATCATGAGTATGTGCAACTTCGTGATGTTCCTACCCGGCGTATTTGAGGTAAGTCACAAATTAATGATGGTAGCGTAGCTTTCTAACCCACAGATTTCTCTGTTCTGATTTTAGGAACACAAAATAGCCGCTCGCGAGGTAATGGTCATGCAGGGTGGCACTTCAGAGCGAGATACGTGGAAGGGCATCAAGCCGAGTTACCTGTCCGCCTGGACCCTGATTGTGGCCTTCTTTGTGCTCGTCTTCAACTTTGTGCTCCTCGAGACGTAAGTTCTTCCAAAGACTAAGAGCTAAAGTGTTTCATGTTTCATATTTACCAGTTTGGGCACGTCGTTGACGATGGATATGTTCGCCTGGTCGAACGAGCAGGCGCTCTGGAATATGGGCATCATGATGACAACTGCAGCCATAGTTTCGCTGGTGACATTCGTGATGATCGAACCGATGTGCAAGCTGTTCGCCGAACGTTACGTGCTCATTTGGGGCGGCTTCTCGCTGATGGTGCTGGGCCGGGTGCTCTTCCTACCATGGGGACCCGATCCACCTAAGGTGGCTCTGGCCTTTAATGCAAGCCTCAATCTAAGCTACGAAGATCCCTTCTATCTGGGCTGCCCAGCCACACAGGAATGGTGTGCTGTGATTCCAGCCGTGACCTTGACACAGTTCATCATTGGCTTTGCCCTCACCTCCGTGGGCTATCCAATTGGCGTGACCCTCATCCAGACCATCTTCTCGAAGGTGCTTGGGCCGCGGCCTCAGGGCGTCTGGATGGGCTGGATGACTGGCTCGGGTTGCCTGTCGCGCGTCTTGGGTCCTGTCTTTGTTGGCTCCATTTACACCAGATTAGGAACTTACTGGACCTTTGGGGTTACATCGTTTATGATGCTCGTCGCAATGATTGCGCTGCAGTGTGGCAAGTGAGTTTTACACAGATTTCCGTCTGATATTCAGTTTAAATTAATCCGTCCTCCTTCCAATCGTTATTTTCAGTCGCCTTCTCATCCCGCCCACATTCGACAAGCCAGCGCCTGTGGAGCTGCAAGAATTGAGTAAACTCAATGGCACACAAATAGAAGACAACTCACCGGATGAATCGCTCATTTCCGAAAAGCACACTGAGCCCACCTAACCACAGTTCCAGCTGCCTTGCTTAGCGCGGAGTTGCCTTGAGCTGTAGAATAATGTTGCAATACTGCCTTTAGAATATCGTCCTTAAATATCCTAGGTTTACAAACGTCCCCCATTTGGTATATAGAAACCAATATATTCATATATTTTTGCATATTTTCGACTGCTATCGATTCTTTATTGGAACACACAAAACTTCACAATATTCAATAACGTTCGATCGTTTAATTGCGGCAGAGGGCAAGAGCAGTCGTTGTCTAGTTAGTGTGTGCGTGTTTGTGTGTGTGGGGCGGGGTCTCGACAAACATGCACAGGATTGAGGCGGTCCAAGCGTGTGGAGGAGCAAATGGGCGAAAATGCTGCGACAAATATGGTATTCTCTTGTTTAAGTTTACGATTAGTGTTAGTATAGTAAAATACGAGTACGCGGCAGCCACAAGTGTGTAAATGTGGTCGGCACCAGCACATTTAGCCGAGGATGACAACATGCTGCTGCTGGCGACCAGCTGAGCAGCCACAAGTCTGTTTCTGTTCTGAACGTGTTTGGGGATGCCAAAGCGACTGCCACTCAGCTGCTGCCGTGATAGTAAAACTCATCTCAGTAGGGCGCATAGCGGCGACCCGGTGGAGAGGGACCGCGCATACCTCGTGACGAGATCATGCGATCGTCAAAGGAATCACGACTAAAGTCCTCATAGCCATGGGGTGTGGGCGAGCTGGGGGAAAGGAAATGGCAAACGGCAGAAATTAGGAAAGGTTTATAAAAAGGCTTCAACTGTTCTGTCACCTACCCATAACGACTCATTCCATTGCTGCTGCGTGGTGGCGGTGGCGAGCGACGACTGAACATGGTGTCATATCCACGTGTGACGCTGCAAGAGCGCAGGCTGCCGCTCAACGGAGGCGGCAATGGCATGGGCTCGCGTCGTGAAATCGGTGGTGGTGGGAAGTCGCGCATACGCGATGACTGATAGCGGCGCTCGTACAGGTCGCGTGAATCCTCGAAGCGGCGGTCATAGTAATCATAATCCTGTGGGGGGAAAGATAATCAATTAGTTGCTGTGAGACGCGGGGAGAGGTGAGCATTGGATGATGTTTTGAAATGTATGCTGCATTTACCCTAAAGCCATCCATAATGCGATCACGCAGGAATGGCGGCGGAGGTGGTGGTGGCGGATAAGGATCACGACCGTACATACGATCTCTGTAGCCACCGGCACTGAGCGGCGATGGCGGTTCGCGTCCGCCTCCGGTGCTGCCATAGAGGCGCGGACACTCTTTCGACCAATGACCGGAACGGCCGCAACGATAACACTGCTCCGGATCGCCCATGCCCGGTTTGGGGCGCACACGACTAGTCGATACTTGAACCTTGAGCGGTTGGCCATCGACCACGCGACCGTTCAACTCCTTGATGGCATCCTGCACATCACCCACACAGTCCAGATGCACGAACCCATAGTTGCGCACAATGTCGCACTCGACGACGGTGCCGTATTTCTGAAACAGCTCACGCACCTCTGGTGCCCGCGTTTTATCGGTTAGATTTCCCACGAAGATTTTCGTAGTGGGCGTGTTGGGGGCGCGACGACTTTTGGCAGCCTCCACTTTGATGGCATTATCATTCAAAACGTAACCGTTCAAGTTCTGTATGGCATCGCGACCCTGCTGTTCGGTTTCCATGTGCACAAACCCATAGTTCTTGACCACATCGCACTCGACGACTGTACCGTATTTCTCGAAGAGCGCACGCAGCTCGGTAGCCTGAGTTTTTTCATCGAGATTCCCGATGAACAACTTGAACGTGCCGGCTCCGGGCATAGCGGCAACGGGTTCGGCTGCGTTGTCGTCCACGGTTCTTGCGTTTCTTGAAATTGGGGGAAAATCCGGACTTACGCGGCGGCGTTTGTTGGCGGAGCGGTTTCTTTATCGCGATTGCGACGACAGCGACGGCAGGTACGAGGAGATAACCGCGACCTCAAAGTGAAAGAAGAAAACAATGCAATTTTCATCTTGTTCGAACCAATATACTATAAGTCATTAAACAGGAACGCGTATGCCGCGAACGTCTGGCATGGATGCTACCACTTTGAATATCTCTTTCTTGAGGTAGCGAGGCGAGGCACGTCATGCACAGTGTCTCGCATTAATTGGCGTCGGCACAAGTACATACACAAAAAAAAGATGGCGACAACAGGCTCACACATTCATTTTTCACGGTTGCAGTGGGGCGCTGGGGCTGCCGCTTCAACAAATTTTCAAATGCTTTCAACGACTTACCTGTGTGTACTGTAAATTTTGCTATCAATGCACAAAAATTTATTTTAATTTTATTGAACAGAATTTCCCCAATCTTTTCCTCTTGTCAGACAGAATTAGAGACAGTGTGACTGCTGATTTATCGTTAAAATATACCGTCCGACCCTCAGAAATATACCAAAATATGCCGTTTAATTTTAAAAATATTCCATAAATATACTAACGAGTTCAAGTTCTATTATACATATCCACGTTTTTAATATTCCGTGAAATATAACTAACAATAGAACCCTCAGCCCTGCCCACATAGTTTTATCCGATTAATGAATCAATTTTGTACCTGACTGACTTAAAATTCCAATGCCAAATAACATATAGCGTCATAACATATAATCAGTACTTCTGACCAAAGCTATATAGTTTCCACTTTTTAGTGAAATTAAAAAACGCTAGATTTAAGGCTATAAGCATTTTCAAAAATTTGCAAGCATATTGTTGTGTTACAACAAATTTCAGTATTTTGTGCGATAATCTATTATCGATACTATTATCGGTTTCTCCAAGCTATCGGTTTTTTGGAACAGTGCTGGCTAACTTCGCATGTTTGGCTTTGCGCAGCACTAGTCGGCTAAAAAAAGCGGGATTCTGAATTTTGATAAAGTTAATGCGAATTAAATTGTGTGCAAAATTATGGAGACGCCAACGGGTAGTGGATATTCCACTCGCCCCGAGCGCATGCCCACTCCCCGATTGTCTGAGCGTAAGAGGCAATTATTTCGCAGCCGCAGCACCAATCTGGACCAAATTGACGATGACGATGGCGTTGGAATCCTTGGAATATCACCACTGAAACCACATGCCAGCTCAAAGAAGCCCAGCCATCTCAAATTTGATCGGGAACCTGAGGGAAGACTATTGCGCAGCAGCACGAGCAGTTCGCCGGAGACGAACAAGGAGAACAAAAAGATACGTGGAGGAGGAGTCGTGGCTGCCACCGATCAGCTGCCGCTGTTATTTACCAAAACAATGTGCATCAATAGCAATAATAGCAGCATTAACAGCAGTCCACGCACGCCCAGAGCGAAGAAGGGTCATGTGATTATTCCAGAGTCGGATGACGATGAAAGTGATGCAGCTGGAGGCAACTCAATTCATCGAGTGGCCACAAAGCGAGTGCACACTACAGCTACGGCTACGTCAGTAGAAGCTGCTTCGTCGCAAGATTCGGATTCAGGGTCGCCGCAGTCTAAACAGAAGAAGACTAACCTGGAGGGTAGCATTCCAACCATGGCATTCTATTCCAACAGCGGAACACCCAGTTTACGAAAGAAGGCGAATTCCAAAAAAGGAAACTCAATGAAGCACATAGATCCGCAGCAGCGCGGTGGCAAGGCGAAAACGTCACCAACGTCTCGGCCTCGGTTGGGCATCAATAAAGGAGTGCACCACAAGATACGGAAGCCAAATCGGTACGTTCCGCACAGCCATTTGCCTCCCACTGATATAGATCACATCCTGGGCGCGCTGCGCAATGAGAAGCTCAAAAGTCTGATCACCGATAAGCGGGAAGAGCGCGCAAAGGTAGAGCTCGTGCACCAAGTCCTGCACAGTGCTCGCGATCCGATTAAAATGGCCAAGCCGTTGAGTGTTTTAGCAGCAGATGACGCCAACAACAACATGCCCGAAGGTACGTGGCAACATACCTCAGACTTCTCCGATCTGAGTGAAGACGAAGAACAACAGTCCGATCCAGCTATGGAGTTGGAACCCATTATACCGCTGATTCGCCATGAAGCGGTCACCATCCCCCCACCTGAGCCGACGGATCTGAGCAAGCGCAAGTTCTTCAAGTCGGGAAGGAGGAGCAGCACGTGCATGGAAGTCAGGATCACTGACAACATAAAAGCCAGTGTAAGTCAGGGGAGGATTTCTCTGATCCAGCACCCCGCAAAGAAGGCACGAAGAGTGCGCGTCAAATCAGCTACCTTATTCTCTGCGGAGCAGGCCACCGTAGATGCCATTCTTCGGAATTTAGACGACACAGTCGTAGACGAGATAATCGAATCGAATAAATCAAAGGCCACGACGACATCTTCCATTGAGGCGAAGGACGCTCCCTCCGCTGAGGTGGAGGACGCTTCCATGGAGGTGGAGGAGGTCCCCGAAATGGTTGATTATCGCCATAAATTAATAAATACCGAAAGTGTTCACGATCATGATCCCGAATCCGATCCCTTTGCTAAATTCCGCCAGCGACTGCCTTATAACACCGATGATCCAGAGACCATGGAACAGCAGAAAATTCTTCTGGAGTTCCTGATTAGCAATAACATCTGTACGGACGAGTATTTCGAGTACTTCATTGGCGATCCCGAAAGTCACAAGGAGGAAGCCACACGGATTGTCGATCAGTTGTATATGGTGGTCCATGCTGAACAGTCGGCGCAGGAAGCTCCTATGAGGTCGGAGGCAGAAGCGGTGGTAGAGAAAGCGCCGACACCAGAGCCACAACCTCAGGAACAACCCTCTGATCCAGCAGTTATAAAGCCAAAACTCTTTCCCATATTCACACAACGTCTCCAGCCTGTTCCTCAGAAATGTACGCGACGCAAGCCAGATACCTCAATGCGATTGCAATCGGCGGCCACTGGTTCCGGTCAGTACCAAATCGACGCTGGACAGAAGGCATTCGGAGCGAGACAATGCCAACAGTGCGGCTTGGTCTACACCGTCCACGAGCCAGAGGAGGAGAAGTTGCATCGGGAGTACCACAATTCCATACATGTTTTACGTTTTAAGGGTTGGCTCGACGAGGACATTGTGGGAGTGTATCCAGAATGGGCAAGCGATGGACGGATTATACGCATTAATCAAAATGCTCCTGCATTGCGACTCGAGAGGCTTAAGGATCTAATTGGAGTGGTAGATAAGGAACTGGGATATTCTTCGTACATTGTGCCAAAGGTGTTTTACGCATTTTTTGCCATACGGAAACAGCAAATTGTGGGTTTTTGCCTGGTGCAGCCCCTTACCCAGGCACATCGGTTCATTCAGGTTGATGGAACGGACTACTTTAGCGAGGATACTTACGAGGCCAGGTGAGAATATTCTCCTTTCTCTTTTTTTATTTTCTAATGAACATCTCGCCCTTGCAGTTGTGGCGTCTCTCGCATTTGGGTTTCTCCTCTGAACCGGCGTCAAGGAATAGCCAGCAAGCTCATGAGGACTGTACAGAGTCATACAATCTTGGGTCAGGAAATCTCTATGGATCGCATTGCGTTCAGCACACCAACCGATGACGGGCGGGCGTTGGCGCGACATATCACGAGAACCGATAATTTTTTGACCTACGACCAGTGATGTGATCAGGAAGGGAGAAGGGAAAATTGTACGGGCTATTGAATAGCTGGAGTTATGTTTGATTAAGGATTGCTTCGAAACCTGTTTTAGTTGTTAAGCCAGTTCGATTATTTTATATGCAGATATTGTGTGGAATTAAAGCTATTTTCGATTATGCCCATGTGTTTATATTTAATATTTTTAGCTGTCGATCGATACATCAATCGATATCACCGGAAAAACGCAGCCCTGCCAGCGATGCTATTAGTACCACCACTGTTCGATATCGATAGTACTTTTGAGCCAGGCTTTGGGCGTTGTTTTCGCTGCACATTAAAATTTATAACAAATACGTTCGAACGGATTTTAAAAACTCTGAATGAGACTAGTTCGAATCGCAGCGGCAACAAATCGTGCGCAGATGGTAAGTGCAGGCGGAGGGTTTAACAAATTAGACGGTTCGGGCTGAGGCTTCCGCTATGTTTGTTCTGCTGACGCCACGCCCAATGTGACAATTGGGAAGTAGGAGAGCTGTGCTCATGTTTTGGGGTGCAAACAGCGTGTGAGCTGGTGGTTGTGTGTGCTTCGTCAGCATTTCTTATTGTCTGCTTGTTCGTTACAGACAATTAAGTGTTGTGCTGGTTGGGACCAAGAAGAAGAACATCGAGTGGCTAATCCTGCAGGCCATTGACCGCTCTTAGACGGCGGCATCACGACACAAACCACACCCATAAAACCCAAACAAGCCGAGCTCCTGTGGGACTATGTCCACAATCGAAGAGGAACGTAAGGCATACGAAAAGAACCCCTACTTCACCGGTCACATCTACGGCAATTTCTCGCCATTTTATGTGACTATTGCCATCTGCACCGTTGTACTTGGCACGATAATCATACTGAATATTATCTTGGGCTGCTGCTCCAAGCATCGCAAGTACTGGCAGGACAGACATACAGGCAACCGCTGGTTGGTGTCCATCTGGTCTGCAACACCGCACAATCAACCGCCATTGGACTTCACTGAACTGAAAGACGCTTCCTATTTCCAGCGTTTCCATGTAAGTGAACCCAATAAAACGACAACAAAGAACCCAGCTAATAATAATTCTCTGCCCAGCCCACCACCCATCAGCAAGTGTTCCCCGACGAGGTGGTTATTGGCGTTGACGAGTTAGAGCCCGTGCATTCATCGCATCATCAGCGTCCGCCACGCCCAGAAGGTCGTACTCTGCATCATCAGCGGCAGCGCGAGGAATACGTAGAGCTTCAGAAGCGTGAGAGTGACATCTAAAGTAAAAACAATCAGCCATGGCCCTATATTTCCTATACCCTGCTGTTGCCGCTCTGGCCTTGTTCATCGTCGGCGTCATTATAATTATGCTGCGCTATGGGCCACGTCTCTGTGGCCTGCGCCATCATGCGCTCCCTGACAACCATGACCTCAGGGAGAAGACATACGAGCATGAGATAAGCTATGCATAATTCGATGCGCTTTTTTTTCAATATTATTACTTTTTATACATTCTGGCAATGTAATATATATATTGCTCTATATATCTCCCCCCGAAACTAACCTTAGTTACTGTAAGTCCCCTCACTAATCGTCTTTTTGCACCCCAAGGATAATTATTTTGCATGCAGTACAAATAGCTTCATTTAGTGTCTATCTGCTTGTCCATTTCTATTTATCATATCAAGACAATGTGCCTTCAATGTAGAGACTCGTGAGTAAATTATGCCGTCCAAGTGTCTTCTAGTATTGTAAGATCCCATATGTAATTAAAATTAATTCTATTTACACTTTTTGAGAAGTTTACAGATTCTGCATTTCAATTCGTTTATTTTCCTAACGCAAACTCTATACATTTGTAAACCTAATATGGTCCAGTACAGAAATCAAATAAAGCTCCAATTTACATTTCCGTAAGATATGATTTTTATTCAGATTCATTCCATAGGAATTAGTAAGCAAAATAACAGAAGTAGTAGAATTATTCATGACTCGATCGGCGTATTGCAACAAACTAATGCCGACCGATGGGTGCAATAACAGTTGGAATATATAAATTTTACTGAACATAATTTAAACGGCATAGCGCCCAATAACAAAGTGTCAATATATGTTATTATGGTATTTTGAGGTGGTGTAAGGAATAAGTACTATGGAATCAAATAAATTGTGTCGGAATAATGATGTAAAGGGCGGAGCTAGAATCTAAGACCTTTTGGTCGGCTTTCTTGGTTTCTTTCTTACATGTCGCTCCGCTTGCTTGGCGGGAGCAGCCAACTCATATCGAAATATGATGCAGCGACGATCAAAGAAGCACTTCAAGTCCTTGGGCTCATACCGATGACCCATTTGCTTCAAATGCAAGTAGACTTCCTGTAGATCAATGGGTTCGTACATGAGTACACTTTCATGAAGTTTGGGATTGGCACACAGAAGATTGTGCCAGGCTATGTGGAGCGGCACAATTGGCTGTGGTGTCTTCTTTGTTACATTCGTTTGTAGGACATAGAACTCAAAATCGTCGCTTAGGCTTGGCGGCACAGATTGAGAGAAGCGTAGCAGATCCTTTCCAGGGGCATTAGTGTTGAATTTGAAACCCTGTATAGGCTCAGTGGGTGTCAGACAGACGTCATTGTTGTCTGAAACTATGGGTCGAGAGCGAGGTTTCTCGGACATCACGGGAGTGGATTTGGACCGAGGCATAGGGTCCTCCTGTCTTTGAGATAACTCCCTTGGCTCCACGGGCTGCATAATGGGATGAGTTTGGTTGTAAATGAACTCAAGCATCTTCACGGCCTGCTTTCGCTTCAGCGGCTTGATTCCATAGTTATACAACTGTTGGAGGATCTCTGACTCTGCCAGTTGTGTGAAATCGGGCTTCGGAGTATGACAAACACGAACGGTATACACATTTCCATTGACTTCCAACTGATCAGGCACTGTTGATAATACTGTTTTCGACGTAGTAAGTTCCGGCAACGCTGGCATTCCTGTTTCACCCATTAACAGACAATCAGGCACAGTTGATGATACTTTTTTGGGCGTAGTATGTTCCGGCAACGTCGTCATTCTAATTTCACCCATTAACAATCGATCCAGACCGCTTGGCATCGCATCTGTGGTCGCCTCAATAGTTGATTCCTTGCAGTTTGGAAAAACCAACTGATCAAACTCATCGAATTCATCATCCAGCAAATCTTTGGGCTCCGTGACTTTGGCAAGCAAATCATTAAATTTATGGCTGCTCTTGCGCGACAAAGTCCTCATGGGAGCTTCTAAGAAAGATGCATCTGACCAGTTAATATCGCACTGCGATTCTCCTTTGGCGGGGCTCAACATCTGGGAGAGTGTAAAGGGCTCAGAGAGAGCGGCATCAAGGATCCCAAACTCAGCTCGTTCCCTGCTGAGAGCGCTCTTATTGGGCGAGCGAGAGTTTTGCGACTTGTTTGAGTTTGTAGGCGAAGTCATTAGGAAGGCATCCAAGTCTTCTTCAGTCTTAAAGTAAGGAACAGCTCGTTTTTTCGCAACGGGTGAAAACCCACTACTGTCTGAGCTCTCATTTTCCCAGTCTTTCCCTTTTGCCGTTTTGTTGGCCTTCCAAATCGAGTAATTGATTTCCTCATCGGAAAGCATGATCACATCATTGTCGTCGTCGCTGTTTTGGGTCAGATCGATGCTTGCATCCGACTGCATTCTGAAGGGAGAAGGAGCAGACAATGCAGGCTTCTCAGAAGACGAGTCCATCTTCCAGTTTAGTGGACTTTTGAAGCTGTGATCTGTTGACAAGCTGACACTCCTTCGAAATGAGTTTCTCGAAATATTCAGATCACTAAAGCTGCCACTGGGATTGCTATCATTTGGAGTTGTAAATGCATCCATATGGAAAGATGAATTCTCCGATTCCTTGTCTGTGGCACTTAATGCCAGTTTATCCTCTTTTGAAATGGCACGACTTTCACTCTGGGAACTTGAATCCATAGCCAGACTGCAGTTGAACTTGTCTACATGGAGACTAGATTCAAATGCTTGACTGATGCTGAAGATATCCGTGCATAGATATGCTTTTGGGTCATCGAATTCTGGCTTGGAATGTTCTTGTGTCAGATCAATAAAGATTTCATTGGCTTGATCTGAAAAATGATAATGATAAGATATATGATATACCATTTAAGCCAATCCCTTACCTTTACTACCCATCTGCTCCTGCGTAGAGTCGGTTCCAGTCTTTACTGAAATCAGACGAAAATTAGTTAAAAATGAGAGGGAACTTTGTTTATACCCGGTACTCAGACAGACGATACTTTATGATTTATGTAATTTATGCAATATATTTTATATGTCGATTAGAATCGCTGTTCGAAAAAGGGACAAATTAATTTATTGCAAACAAAATATTTGATAAAAATCAATGAACCGTTTAGGAGGATTTTATACATTAGATTTGATCTGTTTCCATTTATCTTTACTTTTTTTTTACATCTGTCTCTTTTTTTCTCTATTCCAACACCAACATCTCGCTCCTTTCCGCCTTAACATGAACCCTGAACGAGGTAGAGTGTGTGATAGAAAGAGAGAGAGAGAGAGAGATAAGTAAGCACGTGGAAGGAGTTTCAATTTAATTTGTTTCTTCTGGCTATAATAATGATCCTATCTGATCCAGATTTGGCGATTTGGTTTCTAAGATAATTTTCAATGATTTTGCGTTTTCAATTTTTCCCGTATCTTCAAAATTGTAGATGCCACAGATTTTCGTCTTTTATGGAGGCGGAAGGATGGGTGGTGAAATTTAAAAAAAAAGAACTGTTAACAGTGTCATATCATAGGAGTTTGGATACAAAATTTGGCTGCTTTAGCTCTTATAGTATCTGAGATCTATGCGCTCATCGGCACGGACGGACAGACAGACAGACAGACACGGCTAGATCAATTCGGCTATTGATGTTGATCAATAATGTATATAATTTATGGGGTCGGTACTTTCACCACAAATCTAGTATACCCCTATGCTCTTTGAGTACCAGGTATAATTACTCATTTGTCTATAAGTTTTACCTTCATCACTAGATATAGAGTAGACTTCTGAAGAAGCCGTTGGTTGATTGATGGGTGTACTCTCTATTTCGTTTACTGGACTCTCACTTTCACTTATGGTTATATTCTTATAAACCTTCAAGCTAAAATTCGGAACTTCCTTCAGTTTGGGAGACGTCGCTGGCTCATCATCAGAGTCGGCAAACAGATCGGGTGACGTACAGCGCGTTAATTGTGTAGGAACACTTATGTTAGACGAGGTAGTGGGCTTGAGGTCTTCTGTGCCATTTTTAGCCATCCTGGGACGCTTATCTGGCGGCTCCTTCAAGGGGCTGCTACTAGTGGAGGAGACTTCCGCTTGAATGTCACACTGTTTGGTGTCTTCTTCTTCGATCATGTTCTCCACCACCAGCTTCTCCAGTTCATCTAGTTCTTCATCCACTTGTTTCTTTAGTGCCTGCTGGTTTTCGAAATGATTTTCCAGCTCGTTGAAGGCGATTTCCATTTGCTTTATCTGTTGACGTGTTTTCATGCTGGTCCGCTCTGGGGACAAGTCCCGGCCCTGTATGGCACCCCAATCCTTAAGTAAATGATGGGCAGGCGTATGACATACTTCAATCAAGCCGGACACAAAGTAGATTTCTATGTCGGTAACAGGACCTTCACTGGGCTCATGGACGATTGCAGATTTGCTGTCGGGTTTCAATTCTCGGAGGATAGAACTAATCAGCTTATAAGGCGGCATTGAGCTCTCCTCAGCACTTAGCTTTTTGGTTCGCACTTGCTGAGCCAAAAGAGTGGACACCTTGCTCTCCAGCTTCTTTTGCTGAACCTCGGGGTTACGCAGAGTGAGGGGAGTGAACTTGTTGGTCCATTTGCAGCGACGACTGCCCCTGCCGGATACGCCGGGCAGTACTGCCAAGCTCTTGTAGTCTGATGGAAGATGAATTTGGGCTTTACATTGAATACTACAACTATTCAGAGAGTACCTACCTTCTTTAGCGGCTGTCCGAAAGCCATATTTTTGTAGCTTACGTCGAATATTCTCCGTCGCTGATCCAGCATTGTCTTCAACCACATCGACAGGGACGTCATCATCGTCATTCAAGCGAAGGTGTCCATGTTTCTCAGCCTCCGATTTGGATAGCGCCAGCGCCATTTCAATATCATCTGGACTAAAGTTATCCGCCATGCAGTGCTGGGCAGCTACCTCGGCGAAGATTTGCTCATTCCGCAGGAAATTACTTATGCTGGGCTGCTGCTTGCTGCGACCGCGTCCCCGACGTGGGGCACTTGAGCTGCTGCCCTTTAGCTTAGGCGCCTTCTTGGGCTTTGGACCGGGTGGTTCAAAGACATTGCTATTACGTATTGGCCTGATTCTGCGTTCCGGAGAAGCCGCCACAGCAGCGGATGGTACTGGTAGTATAGCATCTTGAAACCGATCTTCTGTGTCATCCGCAGTATCGACTCTCTCGGGGGGCGTAGCAAAGTAGGAGGATAGTGTAGATGTATTAGAGGCTGCCTTGCTGCTACGCGTCGAGCTTGGGAAGGAAAGAAAACAATGCTGTTGGTTAGATAACTACATTTTATTGTTCAACAACTACGAAAACATGCTTAAATTACAATTACCGAAGCTTATTAGATTCTTGCTGCAAGTTCTTAAAGTTCGCTCTTCGAGTCTTTCGATCCATGATTAGCGTTCTGTCCTTAGATTCTCAGCCTCCTCGATGGCTTCTCTAATAAACTTTCCGGGACGCGGTGCACCAAACTCAAACAGTCCTTTCCTGTCAATTTCCTGCTCCGATGGAGTCAGTAGTTTTTTACACAGCTTTTCGTTTGACAAGCGCTGCATGGGCGTTAAGCTATAGAAGAGCGGCATTAATTCCTGATTTATGAAACACCATTTCCGGGTTATATTTACCTCCAAATTCCAAAGCATACAGCTCCAGCTGCTAACAGAGCGTAGGCAAAGCGATTCCGGTAGGTATACGATGGTGTGCCGTGAGTGCGTCTGGGCTTTCGCTTGGTTGTATCAATTCGATCCATTACTACAGTAGCACAGCACAGCACAGCACAGTATTATATAATTTAAAACATTTTAATTTCGCAAGGAGGCAGGAACAAACACGGTGTTGATCGATAAGGGTTGTCAACATATTATACAGAAAATCAAAACAGTTGTTTATACTAAGAAATGTATCAGCTAACCGCCAATTCTGGTTAAAAATAAGCTAAAAACTATTCAAGATACAACTATTAGCAAAATAACTCTCTTGTTTATAGAATTTTATTGTAATTTAAAACTTGTCGACTTATCGTTATCGGTGAAACAGCTGTGCACTTGTGAATGTTCTGGTCACACTGGAAAACACAAACGTAAATATATATAAATATAATTAATTAGCGGACAGCCCGCAGAGAGAAATCGAAAACAATATAGTGATTTGAGCGTCAATAAAGTGCGGGTGCACACGTCACACTCGCAAACACATTCACATTTGCATATTAAACACAATTTCAGTTGCAAGTGGACTGTGAAAAGTTGATAACCACTGAACTCACAATTACAACAACACATACGCAGTGGCATTAGACAAAGGGTAACGTACCACTACCACTACCACTAGTCCGAGTCCGAGTACAGTAAACAGCGAGAGATAACCAGTGCGAAGCAGACAAAGCAAAAGAGTTCGACCGCACTGGACAGACACAGCACACAGCCAGCTCAGAACGTGATACAATTATTGTGCAGGAGAAGCGAAAACAACTGAAACAACGAAACAACAACTTCAACGAAATTCGATAAAAAAATATATATTGTATTACGCCCTATCTGCGGCCGTCGGTACTATCCATTGGCCAGTACGGGAAAAGACAGCTAGCTGCTTAGTCATGGCGCGAGAGGATGAAGAACGCATCGTGGACAACGAGGAGCTGTCTCGGCCAGAGGAGGAGGCAGATCAACAGATCATATCATCCGATCGCCGTCAGGATAATGAACTGGCTCTGCCCTCCGACGGTTGTTGCATTCCCTCCAGCAGCAGCCATCGTTTCATGGCCCTCGTCTTCATGTGCCTTCTCGGTTTTGGCTCATACTTCTGTTACGACAATCCCGGAGCATTGCAGGACGTATTCAAGAAGGATCTGCACTTGACCTCGACGCAGTTTACGCTCATCTATTCAATCTACTCCTGGCCCAACGTGGTCCTATGCTTCCTCGGAGGATTTCTGATCGATCGTGTGTTTGGAATACGACTCGGAACGATTATTTATATGCTGATCCTGCTTGTGGGACAAGTGATCTTTGCCAGCGGCGCCCTATTGAATGCCTTCTGGTTGATGATTTTGGGTCGCTTCATCTTCGGCATAGGAGCGGAGTCGTTGGCTGTGGCCCAGAACAGCTATGCCGTCCTCTGGTTCAAGGGCAAGGAGCTAAACATGGTCTTCGGACTGCAGCTTTCTGTCGCCCGTTTCGGCAGCACCGTCAACTTCTGGGTGATGCAACCCATATACAACTACGTCAGCAAGTTCTACCACGATAATAGTGCTCTAGGCGTAGTCCTACTCCTGGCCACACTCACCTGTGTGATGTCGCTTATCTGCGCTCTCATCTTGGGCTTTATGGACAAGCGGGCGGAGCGGATTCTGCAACGGAACAACAACCCATCTGGGCAGGTACCCAAGCTAACCGACATCTTTACATTCAAGCCCCCATTCTGGATGGTCTCGATCATTTGCGTTGCCTACTACGTGGCAATCTTTCCATTCATTGCCCTGGGACAGAAGTTCTTCATGGACCGCTTCGGCCTGACGCCGTCCGAGGCCAACACGGTGGACTCGCTGGTGTACCTCATTGCTGCCGTATCGTCGCCGATCTTTGGCTACATCATCGACAAGGTTGGACGCAACGTATCCTGGGTATTTACGGCGACTCTGACCACCATTGGAGCCCATGCTCTGTTGACATTCACGGGAGTCTCACCATACGTGGGCATGATCATAATGGGGCTATCCTATTCCATGCTGGCTGCCAGCTTGTGGCCCCTAGTGGCCCTCATCATTCCGGAGTATCAACTTGGCACCGCCTACGGCTTTTGCCAGTCCATTCAGAATCTCGGCCTGGCCGTTATCACCATCCTGGCTGGCATCATTGTGGATCACAGCCATAACGATCATACGTGGGTGCAGCTGTTCTTCATGGGATGGCTGACCATTGCGCTAATCGCCACTGGAGTCATCTGGGCTTACAACAAGAAGCAGCAGGGAAATCTGAACATGACGCCAGTGCAGCGGGCACAGTTTGTGAGCGCCCAAACGTACCAGCATTTTGAATAGGCGGTGTCAGCCAAGCGGAACCCGCAGATTGGATTATTATCGGTTACTTAGTATAGGCATAAAATTGTTCCCTGCGGGCAACGCTCTAGAGTCGAACAGAGTCGTATGAGTCGAGTCGATGATCTTGTTCCGCGATGTGATGAAGTGTGATGTGCGCCGCCACGAGTCGCGAATTGGTATTTACTAACTGCAATTGTTTTGTCAAACGATATGATATACAATACGCCCTGATCAGCCTTGATTTCCCTTTGCCCACATACGAGTACGATTGCATGAATCCCAATCCCAATTACGAGTATATCTCCGGGTATTTCAGGGATGATCACAGCGATTTATATGTTAATTTTATGCTATGTATTTTTAGAACAATTTATTATTACAGTTACCGCATGTTTATTGTGTCAGCGTTTTACAAATTAAACATAAAATCCATGAAAGAAAGTGCATTGCATTGCTAATAAATCGAAACCTAATACATTGTACCTAATTTTTTTTGGAATTCAAAAGTTATTTGGATTTATTTTACGATTCGTTGCACATTCGTACCCTTACGAAAAAAATAAACATCATCAATTAAATTGTTTGCCTGACGCTCCATTTTTCAAAACATTTAATGTCTACCCTCCGTTCCAAGACCTCAATGCACTGCCTACTGTCCAGACGGAGCACCTGCAGTTCCCTCAGGGGTTTCATATTTTCCTCCACCGATTGATTACTGCGCAGCGTCTCCAGTAACAGCAATGCCGTACCCCGCGCTGCCGTCAACAGTTTGCAGGCATCGTGAATTCTATGGAAATGAAAGTCGGGTGTCAGGTTTGTGTTTACAGTAGCTTCGCGCATGACTCACCTCTTAAAGAGTAGCTCTGGTCGTCGCGTGTACTGGCCGAAAAGAGCGAACAGATTGCGCGTCATATCGTAATTGAATTGGGCTGCACCAGCCGGAGAGAACTTTGTGTTCATGACCATGCTTTCGAGCATGTAGTCATCGAGTGTGCGGGCTATCAATCGGAGCGTCTGATTGAACAGATTGGCGGACAGTTCGCGCTCCAGATTGTGAAGCATGGTGACTAGAACCTGAAACATCTCTCCGCCACTGGACGAGAGTATAAAAGGCTCCTTGGAATTGTGTTCCGGCATAGTTGGCCAGCAGTCATGGCGATAGTTCATTGACCTGGCCTTCATTTCATGGGTTTCGCGGGTGGCTAGATTCTGCGTTAGCTGCCGCGACCAGTGCTCCAGTTCGGAAACGGCATGGTCAAATACAGAATGTATCTCCGGGGCATTGGGACCCACCAGTGCCGAATGCAAATGCAGATAATGCACATTCTCTCCCCACTCGCGGAGCACCATGATCAGATAGTTCATGGCATTCAGCACGGGAATGCTTCCCACCTCACCGCTACTGTGCAACTGAACCAGACGCCGTCGGAAACTGTCGATCAGCTCGAGCTGCAGCTGCAGGAACTGCAATTGGTGTCCTGGTTGAATCAAGCCATAATAGCGATCTTTGATGGCTTCCAGCAGTCGCATAAATTGGTCGGCACACTTCGGTATCTTCAAATCATCCTCAAAGGTGTTCGGATCAATCAACTGGAAGGGCGACTCCGCCATCAGAATATCATCCATTCTCTCTGCACAGACTGAGAATTACAAGGGGATTGTGAACATAAACCTAAGCGTAAACTGAGAATATCCAGCATACATCTCTCCTCCAAGGATATCCAGCGGAGCAAATACACGGGCTGAGTGATCACGGCAATGGCACTGGGAAAACTGGCCGGATAACCAAACGTCTCTCGCAGCTCCGCCTCAAAGCCCAAGGTCTCATCCAGCAGGTGGGCAAACAGTATCTCGTCCTGAGATATCTGTTCAATATCCACGGCCAGTTTTTCAATGGTCAACTGAACCAGACCTCGTATGAATTCAAGCTGAAATGGATTCATATCATAGCTAGAGTGGTATACACATAGGATTATAATGAACTTTTACCCTCAGATTGTAGTCTAGTTTTCCGGCCCTTATCGCTGCTGGCTGGAATGTCTTGCCCACAAAGAAATGAGTGTCCTTCCCCCAGTTGAGAATCTGTGTGTAGTACCATTCGGGCTTGTCTAATCGATTTGTTTGGCGTGTGCCAGTGAAGTGATACGTGAAACGCTGACGATATGGGGCCAGCAGAAGCTGCACCACCTTGCTGATGGGTTGGCAGAGAATGCTCGGCGTGATGCTCTGCAGGGGGGCGTGCTCTTCAGCGGGAGATTTGATGAGAAACATATACTCGGCCAGCAGTTGTGCCTTCTCGGTGTCCCGCGTGGGTGAATAGTTCAATGCCTGTTGTTCCATGTAAGCCCATCGCATGCTCTTGAGCACGGTTTTAAACTCACTGGACAGACGCTTGAGAAGCAGCTTGTGCCAGTAGATGGCAGTTCGTTCGGCGAAGGACTGCAGGGAACGTGCCTGGACGGCATTCAGACGCCCCACCACGCTGTGCTCGCAGTCGTTGCTTTCGTAGAGTGTGAGGTACAGGTTTACTAGCTTGTCCTCGTCCTTGCCGTTGATGCTGCTGCTCAGATCGCCACTGATCTCCTGTATGTCCTGTACTAGACGAAGATACTGCGAAAGGCGCTGGAGCTGACGTACTTGGTGGAGATCTACGGCCACGGCATCAAGGGAGGGTTGGCACTCCAGGAGTTTCTGCTGCAGCTTCTCCCTAAACTGGGCCAGTTTCTGCAGCTCAAAGTCAATGCTCTCGCAGACTTGTTGCTGGCACTGGAAGGCAGATTTGTAGCTGGACACATTCTGGGGGTCCTCATAGTCAAGCTGTGGGGACGGAATTCGCATTAGACCCATGTAAATGTGTAAACTATACCACTTACAGTCTTGGACAAGGCATGCAGCCGCTCCTTGTAGTGACTAACCAGCAGATTGGCCCGATGTAGACGGCTGGCATCCTTGCCGATCTCTTCATTTAGACGCGTCGCTATGCGTAACTCCATCCCACTCAGCTCTGCATGCATTTCGATGCAGCAAAAGCTCGAGCAACATTCAAATTACAACCCAAACCGAGCCACGAACCACGTATAAAAATAAATAATTGTTGTTGTTTTAGCGATGAGCAAATAGAGGTAATTTTCTTAGTTTCAAGAAATGGTCACACCTTTTCTGACACATTGAGGTCGATAACACCGTAAACCCAGGGCAGCCAGCACATTTATCGGACGCCTTGTGGACAGACGCGGGCGTTGTTTGAAAAGACAGGTGTTGTTGGCGTCGTTTTTGCTTGCATTTTCTTTGTGTAAAGTTAAGCTAAAAATGTACACACCCAAGAAGAAAATGTTTGGCCATGGCCTTGCACCCTCGCCACACACGCCGCTCAGCTTCAGCCGAGAGTTGCGGCAAGTTCTGCAAGAAAGAAACTTGCTCACAGCTAAGTCGCGCAGGAAAGGTAATTGACGAAGGCTGCAACAATTGCCAAGCGTTTTTATAGTTGTATGTGTAAATTAATTGCAGTGTGCTCAATGCTGGACAGCGCCTCCAGCAGTCCCATTGGCTCCCCCAATCCAGATGCGGGAAAGCGCATGGGCTTCCGTCTGCAGGCCATACAGGAGATCATAACATCGGAAAAGTCCTACTTGGAACAACTGGAACTGCTGATGAACTATTTCGTGCTTCCTCTAAAGGAGCAAGCTATCATCGACTGCTCCAACCATACGCTGCTCTTTGGTCAGATTGAGATGATACACAATTTGAATGGAGAATTTCTGCGAGAGCTGGAGGCGAACATGGAGAATGTGGCACATGCCTTCCTCAAGATGGCACCGTTCTTCAAGCTGTATTCGGTTTACGCCTTCGATTATCGTGGAGCTCTGTTCGTTATTCAGGATTTGATCAGCAAAAATCCCGTGTTTAGAAAGTTTTTGGAACAAACCGAGAGTCGTCCAGAGGTGCAGCGAAAGCTGAATTCTTTGATGATCGTGCCCATACAGCGTGTGCCCCGCTACAAGCTGTTGCTGGAGCAGGTCCTACTGTACACGAGCCCAGCGGATGCCGACTACAAGTTGTTGAAAGGTAAGAGATGCAGAAAAACTTATGTGGACCGGTTGATAATGTAAAATGCATTTCAGAGTCTGTTAAGGAGATCGATGCCACTGCCGCACACATCAATGCGTGTGTGGAGGAGCAGGAGGTTACCCAGTATCTGATCCATTTGCAGAATTCTCTGGTGAATCGCACACCAAACATTGTAAAGCCCTCACGCCGCGTGATCAAAGAGGGAATCCTTCAAAAGATCACTCATAAGGGCACGGAAATCAAACGCTACTGTGTACTTATGTCGGATATATTTATGTACTGCAAGCTCGTGAAGGATCGGGCCCCCAACACCGTGGTCGAGAACTCGCTCGAATGCTGTTGCATATTTCCGCTCAAGAAGTGCAAGGTTTTCGAAATGCTGCCGGGCAACTTCAAATTGACTTGCCAGAACGATGGCATCATCTTTGGCAGTGGCGACTTACAGCTGTGCCGTACTTGGGTGGGATTCATACGCGATGCCATTGATTTGCATGTCCAGTGCCGCAAAACGCTGCGCAAGGACTCCAGCAAGAGAACACCCATACGCAAAAAGGACATGAAGAAGTTTGGAGCTGATTATGTACTGAGTCCGAACAACAAGCGCAAATGCGTGAGTAATCTGTATTTGAATGCGTTCAGGAAGAAGCTAATTCTGCTTTATATTTATCGTAGGAGTTCGAGACCGTTTTCCGCAACAATAACCGCAGCACGGACTCTGAGGATGAGACAGAGGATACTGCTTGCTTTCCACGCAAACGCAAGACGCCAAGCGCCATCCCAAGAACTACAAACTCTAGCAAAAATATCGGAAATTCTTCTTTATACAACAAAACGAAGGTCTTGGCACCGCCACCACCGCCAATGCCACCTGTTCAGTTGCGCCATCAGCCGGGGACAGTGAGAGATTCCGCCTGCAAGGAGAATCGCATTTCCAAGCTGTACAAAAAGATTGCCACAGGCGATAAGGTGGCCAATGTACGTGGCATACTCAAGCGCAGCAATGTGACCGCTACCAGCACTGATCACGATCCCACCTACGGCTTTGCCAGCCGCTACTCCGACTCTAAATCGTACTTTAGAGCTCATAATGTGGACAACACCATACCCACAGTGGTCAAGCGCGAGGATCTGTTTAACGCGGAAAATTTGTTTGCCATAAATTCAGGCGATGGCGGCCCGGCTTCAGCGCAGAGGAAGCAGAGCCAAGAGGAGATGCTTTCACCGCCACAAAGAAAGCGGGTTAAGTTCGATGACACCTTGGATAAACTCTCTCCCGGTAATGAGCATAAACCTTTTGCTTTCGCAAGCAGTACTGAAACCGCCCCCAAGGCCACATCTTTGCGCGAACGCATCTATGATTTCTTTGCCAATCTGTTCTAGAATTAAATCAGGCATATTTTTTTCATCAACATCA